GCAGAATCCCATTCCCCTTCCCCGGGATCTGCCCCAGCCGGGGCTGGGCCCCATAGCGCGGCTCGCGGCTTCCCTCTGCTGGGGGACGCGGGACCCGGGACGCGGGATGCGGGATGCAGGACGCGGGATGCTCCATGTCCCACCAAGCCAGACCCTGCGGCCTCAGCCCACGGTGCGCAGGAGGGGCCAGACCTCCCCTTCGGACACCACAAGTGAGGAAGCAAACCCATGGGGCCTCCCAGGCTGCCTCATGCCAGACGCACCCCGCAGGCTCTCACCCCGTGTCAGGACCTGCACGGGAGGGCTGTTCGTCCTTTTTGCCTTCCTCTTCCCGATTTCCTCCTCCTTCTGCAGCAGGGACAGAGCCCAGGAGTGGAGTCCCCATGAGAAGGTCCTCACCTGAGTGGCCACTGAAGGCGTTTTGCAGATGAGCCCCGGTTAAGCCCCAGTCAGAGCGAGGATGCGTGCACAGAGACCTGCACCCCCCAATAGAGCCGCTGCGTTCCAGGGGTGCCTGAGCTTTCGTTTGAGACTTCTAGGCTGAAAACCCAACAGATGAGGAGCTTGACACCCGTGTCTGCTCTTCAGACGTGGCCACCAGCGTGGAACAGGAGAGGAAGCCCTGACAGCTGCTGGGCAATGCCAAAACCCACTGTCCCTGGGACTTGAGCAGTACAAAGCTGATTTCCAGGCTTTAGAAAGCAGGTCTGCTCGTGCCACAGGGATGCCATAGGGGTTACAGGGGGCTGAGGACCTTAACTAAAACCATGAGCACTCAGAGCCACTCTGATGTGAGGTTTATGTGCTACAGCGTCTGTGCTGGGGCTGGGCAGCCCTGAGGATGCCCGTGCCAGGAGCAGTGACAAGGACTCATTGCCAATATCCTGATTTTGAGATGAGCTTGACAATCTGATCCTGCAATGTTGGTTTTGGTCACAATTGGCCTGAGAAAGGAAAAAAAAAATGAAGGAAGAAGGGAAAAGAAAACGTCTGGTGGAAAGAGAAAACACCTGCCTGGAGTCAGCCTCTCTGGTTTGAGTTCAGCAACTGAAAAGAGATACAGTGCTTCATTTAAGGTGCCCAAGCCTGACTCTTCTCATTGAATCATGGAATGGTTTGGGAGGAAGGTACCTTAAAGCTCATCCAGTTCTTCAGGTGTTCTCCAGACACCTGCCTGATGCCCCTATGCTGCATTGATGTGAGTCCCAGCAAGGGGACCCTGGCAGCGCTCAAGGCCAGGTTGGACACAGGGGCTTGGAGCAAGCTGCTCTATGGAAGGCGTCCCTGCCAGGAAGGTGTCTGGAGGCAGGACCTGGTGAGAGCACCCGTGGTGCGATGGGTATGTAGTAATGGGGAATGCGACACTGCAGTGCCAGCAGTAGAATTAATTCTTCCCTGCTCCAAGCCCTGTTTGGTTGGTTACCTGGAAGCAGAAACACATGGTAAGTGCATGGGTTAGTCGTGCATTAAGGAAGGAAGATCCCCAGCTCCTTGTGCATGGGCTGACGGCCCATCCCGAGCACAGCAGCAGGTTTGAGCCCTGGAAACACCAAGCTCATGGTGCAGGTAGAGAATCCCAGGCTGGTTTGTGCTGAAGGGAGCTTAAAGCTTCTCCATCCCAACCCCCTGCCATGGGCAGTGACACCTTCCGCTAGAGCAGCTTGCTCCAAGCCCCATTCAGCTACGCCTTTCCCTTTGTGCCCGAAGCCCCAGGCAGACCGATGGCAAAGCCATCCTCATGGGGGGTCTCCAGCTCAGCCTGTGTCTGGGGCGATTCCTGCAGCAGAGCCCCCACGCGAGGACCTCCCTTGTCAGTTCATCTGCAGAGCCACAGAGCTGGCTCTTGAGAGCACCCATCTCGTGCCAGCCTGTGCCCCTGCCTGCTGGCTAATCTTTAACTCCCCTTTGTACCCACTGGGAGTAACTGTTCTTACTGATAACCCCTTCTGCTCCTGCGTCCCCGCTGAACTGAAGCACATTCCTGATCTTCCTAGCACGGTATTCATGGAGATATTCAGGGCTCTGCTGCAATATGTTTAATTATTGAAGCATTTCTCCCTCTTCCCACCAAGGAAAGCAGACACATCATTCCCCATTAGACAGCACTGGAGGAGGAAATTAGGTCTGGTTCAATTATTTCTGCAGTTATATCACTCAGTTCTCTCATGTCTTCTCATTAAGAACATCCACCCTGTGCAGTGCAAGAAGCCACCTCTGATCACACTCATGGCCACCTTCCAGATGGAATTCCAGGGCTTAGAGTTACCCAAGTGATGAGTTTGCCCTTAAAAATACAACCTGAATCCTCGCTGCCGCTCAGAGCTGTGCAACTCCATCACCACCCGTGGGTGACCCCAACAGCCTGGGGTTAAGAAGGGCTTTGCTGCTGGTTGTGAGAAGAACAAGGATGGTTGGTAGAAATGGGATGAAACTTTGCTGATGTTCTGTTGGTGAATTGCTGCATGTGCAGGAGATGGTGGCAAATGGATACCAGTAATGAAGAAGTTACTGAACTGGGAGATTGAGTGTATGAGTGTAGCCAGTGCCAGACATGGCCTCAGCAGTGCTGAACTGGTGGGGAACCATGCAGCCCCAACCCCTGCCGCGGGCAGGGACCCCTCCCATAGAGCAGCTTGCTTCAAGCCCCTGTGTCCAACCTGGCCTTGAGCACTGCCAAGGATGGGGCAGCCACAGCTTCTCTGGGCCAAGCATTCCACCACGGTCATAGTGAAGAAAGAGGGTTCTGCCTGAACAACCATGTGAAAACAAGGAAACCTCATCTCAGAGCCGGGAGTCAAGGCAAGCAGCAGAACACCATCAAAACACCAACGCCTGATCCCATAGGATGATGAAAGCTGCGTTCGACAGAAACATGGGATCCATGCCAGAGATCTTGGAGCCGTTCTCTCAAGCTATATTTAGTTGTGAGCATTGCTGCCTTCCCAACTGGAATTGCAGCTTGGAAGGTTTTAAAAGGCTTTCTGGCTGTGGGTTCATCTAATAAAAGACAACCACGAGCTAAATCTGTCTGACATTCACAGCTCCACGCTCGCAAAGCTATTTTATAGCTGCAACAAGCAGCACCCCTGCTCGCTCTGCAGCCTGAAACAGCCCTACCCATCACTTCCCACAGGCACCAGAGTCTTCCTTGGGGACTTGTGCCCAGCAGTTCCCTTTGCACTTGCTGGATGCTGGCATCAAGGATATGCTTTGGATATCCTTCAAGGATATGCCAACAGACTCATGTTGACATCAAGCATAAAGATTAGGAAAGAGCTGCTCGTTTCAGATTCATTTCCATCAAGGACTGCTAGGGAGGGAAGGGATTCAAGTCTTATTTCCCAGATTGCTCCTACCGTGAGATGAAACGGGGCTGGAGAGCTGAGCAGCAGCAGCAATAGACCTGGAGGAGGCGAGGTTTAACATCTTGTTTTCAACTGAGCCCTGAGGCACGGGGATTTGCTGTGCAGGGATTTGCTGTGCTGGGAAATGCTGTTCCTCACTCCAGAGGCTTTCCTTAGGGCATCTGCTCTCCAGAATGGTTAAAAGTGTCTCACATAATGAGTTACGGCTGTTCAAAGCCACAAGTGTTGGTGGGAAAAGGCAGTGTGGCTGAAGGAAAAGGCCCGTGAAGGCACAGTACTGTGAAAGCACAGGAGCGATGATTTCCCCCCCTTGGTCTTACCCAAGTGACCAGTTTTCCAGTAAAGCACCGTGAAGTCCCCAAGCATTACCCAAAACATCACTTCAGTGTGGGCTGAACAACCGAGCACAGTGGAGACCAGGAATTTCTCCTTGCTGTATGCGAGGACCTTGTAGCAGCGATGCTCTGAAATCCTCCAGACATCCAGAAGGATGCTGGTCCTTGTCTCTGGTCTGTACCTGTCCCATCAGGGAACCGCAGGCAGACGGGAAGTTCCTCATCTTAGTGGGGTTACAGCTATACCAAAGAAAGAAGAAATACAGACTGTACCTGCATGAGTGAACTTCCCATCGAGTTGCCACGAGCCAGGCGAGGGAGCGATGAAGCACGATCATGGAATCAGAGTGGTTTGGGTGGAAAGGACCTGCTCCAAGCCCCTGTGTCCAACCTGGCCTTGAACACTGCCAGGGATGGGGCAGCCACAGCTTCTCTGGGCACCCTGTGCCAGCGCCTCAGCACCCTCCCAGGGAAGAGCTTCTGCCTAAGAGCTCAGCTCAGTCTCCCCTCGGGCAGGTTAAAGCCATTCCCCTTGGCCTGGCCCTACAGGCCCTTGTCCCAAGCCCCTCTCCAGCTTTCCTGCAGCCCCTTCAGGCACTGGAGCTGCTCTGAGGTCTCCCCTTAAGGAGCTTTCCCTTCTCCAGGCTGAACCAGCCTTCAGACAGCTCCACACAGCTCCAGCACATGGAGCACAGCAGTGAAGGAGCTGTCAGTGCCCAGATCTCCATCTACCCCAGAAGCTGCACCCATCATTCCTACCCCCTCAGACTCCTACATTACAGATCCCAGACCCACCACCTCCCAGGTCTCCAGCAGCCTTGTTCCACCTCCAGAGCACTTCCACCCCCTCTGTAGGGCACAACTTGGGCACAGCAAGGCTGGTTCAGAGCAATGGTTTATTGTCATCCCCACCGCTGAGGGAGCCAGAGCAGGCTGAAGGACCAGACCCCAGAGCTCAGCAGAAGACATCAAAGCAGCTCCTCCATCAGAGCAAAGACAGCCTTGCCCTGCCTCAGACAGTGAGGAACACTACCTCCATCACCAGCTGGAAGCAGAGGCAGACGAAAGTCCAGAGACAAAGGTCCAGAGGCAGACAAAGGTCCAGAGGCAGACAAAGGTCCAGAGGCAGACAAAGGTCCAGAGGCAGACAAAGGTCCAGAGGCAGACAAAGGTCCAGAGGCAGACAAAGGTCCAGAGGCAGACAAAGGTCCAGAGGCAGACAAAGGTCCAGAGGCAGACAAAGGTCCAAGAGCACAATTCATGGAAGCACTGGGCTGTGCACCCAGTCTGGACGGAACCAAGCTCCCTGTGCCAGCTCCTCTTGCAGGGCGGCAGCAACAGCTGCCATGTCCCTCTAGAAGGAGTCATGGGGACCCCCACCCATGGGATCCACAGCCCCCAGCTCCATCAAGGAGCACCACGATGGCTAGGGGCAGCAGGACCAGGACGGGCCACGGCAGAGCATCCTCAGCTCCGCTGCTCTCGGGAGCCGCGGTCTCCATCCCAGCAGATCTCTTTTTCCATGCATAGTACTTGGCCACAACCACGTTGGGGTTGCCCTGGGCAGGGTCGAACCACATCTGGATGCAGCGCCCGCTGCCCCGCTGCTCCGTGCTGTATCTGTAGGAGTTGGACCAGATCTTCTCGCACAGATCTTTTGGCCGGGGGAAGACCTGGCTGAAGGGTCTGCACATGGAGCCCCAGGGGCAGCGGTTCGTGCCTGGGGACAGACAGCACCACATCAGGAAACAACAGCGTGAGCAAGGACCCTTCGCCTTTATCCTTCCACCTGCGGGGATGAGGCCACCAGCCCATCGCTGCACCCGGGCTGATTCCTCAGCCTTCTGGCTGGCAACCCCATAGACAGGTAAGAGCTACTTATAGCACCACAGCCTGGTTTGGGTTGAAGGGACCTTAAAGCTCCTCCATTCCCAACCCCTGCCACGGGCAGGGACCCCTTCCATAGAGCAGCTTGCTCCAAGCCCCTGTGTCCAACCTGCCCTTGAACACTGCCAGGGATGGGGCAGCCACAGCTTCTCTGGGCACCCTGGGCCAGCGCCTCAGCACCCTCCCAGGGAAGAGCTTCTGCCTAAGAGCTCAGCTCAGTCTCCCCTCGGGCAGGTTCAAGCCATTCCCCTTGGCCTGTCCCTACATCCCTTGTCCCAAGCCCCTCTCCAGGTTCCCTGCAGCCCCTTTAGGCACTGGAGCTGCTCTCAGGTCTCCCCTTCGTGCACCAGAGGGGCAGGATCCCCTCCCTGAGCTGCTGCTCATGCTCAGGGGATGAGCAGAGCACACGGGGGGGGTCTGGCTCTGAGCTCACGCTGTGTGGGTCATAGGGGTCCCCCATGGGGCAGTGACTGGTCCTGGCTCCAGCCCTGCGCAGGCAGCGGGGACGCAGGGGTGCTCTCGCTCCGCTCTCCCCACCAACCTGTGGCCCAGTTCCAGCCCTTGTGCCAGTTCTCCTTGCACGTGACGAAGTCCTTGCAGTCCTCCCACCACTGCTCGCAGTCCTCCCGGCACAGGGGCACGTGCAGGATCCGCTCCCGACGCCAGCTGCTGTCGGCCTGCGAGGGATGGGACCACGCTGGTGCTTTGACCCTTCAGAGGTAATGGGCAGGATCCGCCCCATCCCGGACACCCCCAGGCCCATCCATTGAGCCCCAGAGCTGACCCCCGCAGAGCTTCAGCCCCAGCCTTGACAAGCAGCAGCTCTCCCATCACTTAGGGCCGGCCAAGCAGAGGCCAGCGAAGTCCTTCAGATCTTCCCACCCACCAGGAAGGTTCACAGCATCCCCAGGAAGCACATCCCCACACACACCAGGCTACGCTGCCCACCACCGGGGATCCCACCTGGTCAATCCACGGCCCCAGGTTGGGGGAGCACTCGTACAAGCACGTGTCCTGGATGAAGTGGCGCTTGCAGCGGGGGGGCATCACCCCGCAGTGGTTCCAGTTGAAGCCGTACAGGTAGGACTGGTCCCGGTGGGCCTCCAGGCTGGTGTTGGCCGTGCAGCAGGCGTTGTCCTTCCAGAGAGCACACTGCAGAGAGCAGGGGACAGGATGGTCAGGGAGCCAGGGGATGCTCCAAGGAGCTGGGGCCAGAGCTCTTCAATTGGCAGGAAGAGTCCCTAAAGCTGGCAGAAGGAGCAGACAGCAGCATCTTTCCTTGCCATCCTTCACCATGCTCTGATCTGGGGTACCACAGCTCGGAGAAGGGGAAGCTTGTGGTTAAAGGGGGGGTACACTGAGGTGACAGACTGCTCCTACCACAGCCATTGGTTAGAGGAGAGCACCAAAAACCAGTCCTCAAATCCCCCACAGGGTTTCTTCCTCAGGCAAGTGATTTCCAAGCACAAACCCAGTCCATATCGTCTGGGGAGGGGGATACAGGGGCTCCAACAACTCCACCCAGCACATCAGCAGGGTCTTACCTGCTCATAGAGCATCCCCTCAGGGCCAGGCTTGGTCTTGTGGTGCTTGGCATCCATGCAGACGTTCAGCAGCGAGTCCCTGGCAGGTACCACGGTGCAAGCAGCCAACAGCAGGAGCATCACCGGCCGCATCCCCACCCTCATGGAATCAGGGAGCTGATGGAGCTGCAGGAGTGAGACAGGGACAGCACAGGAGGGGTTTGCCACAGGCAGCGGTACACGAGGTGCTGTGGGGGCAGAGACTCCTGAGGACACACCAGAACATCAGCAACCCACAGCACCAAGTGCAGGCCTAGGGTCAGCCACACACTGCCCTCTGTGCAGCACCACAGACGGCCCTTCAAGTGCTGGGGCTGTTCAAGTGTTAACCTCAAGCATCCCTGACGGGGACGTGATGCTGTGAGACCCCTTCAAACCGGGTCCTCTGCACTGAGCCACCCCGCAGAGCTTCCAGCTCCCAAACCTGCAGCCAGACACTGCCAGCTATGGGATGTGCTCAGCGAGAGGCTCAGAGGAGGAGGGTGATGGCACCGTCACACCAGCGCCTCGTGCGGGCCAGGAGCTGCGCCTTGCGTTGAGGGGGTGTTAAACCAGACAGCATCACCTTTGGTTCATCGGGACCTTCAGAGACCCACACCCGAGGTCCCCAAAGGGGGCCAGACTTGAGCAGTAAGAACCAGTTCACACAGCCATGGCTCAGCCTCCTCTACCCCTGAGAGGCCGATGGGACTTCAAGGCATTCACCTACAGAAACAACCCAGAGCAAACCCCCAGATCGAACCCCACCAAAAAAACCAACCAAAACCCCACAAACTGCCCCAAAACCCCCAAAATAACCCCCAACCCGAGGCAGCTGCCCCCTTCTCCCTCCCTTCCCTTCCCAACAGGGCACAAAGGTCTAAACCAAATTACCTTTTAAGAAGCACTTTGCAAAACACAGGAGGAAGTCAAAGCATTTACAGCACTAAAACAGCATAAACCAGCCCAGGAGGCAGCAATTACAGAGCTGAGGATGCAGCCACAGGCAGCAGAGGACGAGGAAGCAGCCACCCCACATCAGAACCCGACACCCACACATCTAAACCCCCATAACCCCACCACCAACCTCAGAACCCAGGGCACCTCCAGGCCCTCTGCAGCACCTCAGAACCAGCCAGCCCAGAGGCTTCCTGGGGCAGCTTTAATGGGGCAGCTCCTGACACAGGTGCTGGCACTTGGAACCACCTTGCCCTGGTGCTAAATGAGGTTTAACTTCTCCCAGCACTCGTTACCTTGGAAGCGGTTGTTTTGGGGCCGACGGGCTCGTCTGGCCCCTTGCACCAGCAGCAGCCTCGTGCTTGGGAAACAATCCAGGGTTTCCTCCCAGGGAGGGCTCTTATCGCCTTGGCCACTCACAACAACCTCTTTTCCTCTGCTCCTGCTCTACCATGGGGTTTTGATTTGCAGCGTTGCCCCAAGGAGGGGCACATCCAGGACCCTGTGCTGGCTGAGCTTTGCATCCAGGACCCTGCGCTGGCTGAGCTTTGCAGGTCCCTTCCAACCCCGAGCCGTCTGTGGTTCTACGATGGTGCGAGCCTGCTTTAGTGATGAATGACCCCCATACGCTCACTCTGAACCTGACGTGTGCCGCTTTAATTTGTCATTAACTCCCTCTCTCATCAGAAGTGACAGGGAGCAGATCCCCCCCCCATCTCCGAGCCTTTCCCCCTCCCTCCCATCTCCCCTCCATTGCCTCTTCCAGCAGAGCCACATTCTGCTCACCCTTTTCCCAGGGCAAGCCCTTTGCTCTGCGTGGCTCCGGGGCTGCAGCAGCCGTCCTTGATGCTCCGCGTGTCCCGGCCTTGGCCTCGCTCAGGAATTCCTGGTGCCGGGTTGTTTTGGGGAGCGCTGGGCACTGAGTGCATTGCGGCGCCTTCAGAACAGCGACGGCTTGTTCCTGGGAGATAACTGCTGGCCACCAGCCCGTCACCTCCTGTCTGGAGGGTTCCGGAACCCCCAGGGCATCCTGTCTTTGTCTCAATGCCTTCTTTCTAACCTGCTGGTTTGTGGTTGGTGCCTCAGCCCTGCCGGAATCACTGAGACCCCCTAAAACAGCCCTTTAAATGCTGTTTATTTGAGGCAGCAACAGAAAGAAAGAGAGGGTGGAGGAGACAGAATCAGGGAATCATGGGATGGGTTGGGTTGAGGGGACCTTAAAGCTCCTCCAGTTCCAAACCCCTGCACCGTATCCTCGTACATAAGGGGATGGGTGGGTACATCCACCGTGGTTCCACACAATGATTTTCCCTCTCAAGGGTGTGGGATTGAATTGCTTTGGATGCTTCTTCCCTGGGGTCTCATTTGGGTGAGCAGATGCTGGGGAACCACTCCAGGGTGTGCTGAGCACCCCAGGGCCTGCATCAGCAGGGACCTCAATGCTCTCACCAACACATCACTGCTCAGTGCCACTGGAGACCACAGGCCTCATCAGAGATGCTGCTCACGTCCCACGTGGCTCCCACTGCCCCTGTGCAGAGCAATGAGTGTGTTGTTGTGATCAGAACCTCATTAGGGCTAAAAGCAAACACTCCATGTCTAAAGCCAAGAGCTAATTGGTAGCGTAACTGAAAATGGACTTAGCACAAGAATCAGGTAGTGCCATGGTGCTGGGCTATGGGTCCCTGGCAGGACCTGGGCCACAGCCAGGAGGATGCTGAGGACACCTTGAATGGGATTCAGCACCAAGGAGGGGGAAAGCCCTGGGGTCTGGGGTGCCCTGTGCAGACAGGAGCCCACCACCAGCACACAGAGACACTCCATGGATGCACCCATGTTTAACATCTCACACTGGAGCTGCACCCCAGCGCTGAGTCCTTCAGGAGTGAATCAGCTACAGGAAGAGCAGAGAGAACCCCAGGTCCCTGAGGGAACATCTGAGGCTCTCCTCCTTTCCTCACAAAACTGGTGAAAATGCAATTTAAAAGTGAGTGTAAGGGGGGTTCCTGATGGACACGGAAAAGAACGGATGTGTTTCCCCTTGGACAGACTTTGTTGCTTCAGACTTTCCCCTGCGCTGTTCCATCACCACAGTCTTTGTCCCCTGAAAGACTTCAGACTTTGGTTCTAAAATCCCAGACTGGAGATTCTATAACACAACTTCTGGATCCCTTTGTGAGGGGGAATAAAGAGCTTCCTGAGCCCCTGCACACCGGGGGCAGGGTTCAGGGCAGTGGATGTGAGCAGCAGTGCTCATAGAGGACAAGGAACACGGGTCTGCCCAGAGCTCAGGGGAGAAGGAGCTCTCCTTGCCATTCACAGGGATGCTGAGCCCTGGGTGGTGATGGAGAGGCAGCAGATAGAGACTGCAATAGGAGATTTGTTCTGCTGCTGCCCTGCAGGGAAGATCCACTCATTTACTGTAGTGGGTGACACACTCCTGTGCTCTGCTTGCTGGAAGAGAAACTGCCTCTGCTTGATAAAGTGCTTTAATAGCCCTGAATGAAGAGGCAAGTTCCAGTGAGCCGAGAGGAAAACCTGGGAACAGAAAGCAAGGAAGGAGTAAAACAAGAAGGGAGTCAGCTGTAAGAGATACATGAATGAAACCAGAGCCAAGGGTGATCCTCCTTGGAAATTGAAGCTCCTTCTTGACAATGAAGTGTCTCAAATGCCTCTTCCCATGGCTTTTGGGTACATCCCATGGAGGTTCTTGTCTTAGCCCTAGAGTAAAGCGCAGAATTTGTTTGGGAGCCACAAAACAAGGTGGAAATTGGCCTCTGGGCACATAAGATGGGGAAATAAACCCAGGTGCACATGGGAATGCCGGAAATGGACTGCCGAAGTGTGTATTCTGACTCTTCTGCAGCAGATTTGTGTCGCTATGGTCACAGAATCATGGAATCATGGAATGCTTTGGGCTGGAAGGGACCTTAAAGCCCATCCAGTTCCAGCCTCATTTTGATGGTTCTGTTTCTTCCTTGCAGCTATGGAACAGGGAATCTCCCCAGGGAATGTCGCTGGGGTCTGAACTGGGAGGTCCGTGACTTTGACCCCCTCCTCCAGTCCGTTCCCCTCAGAGTGTCACAACTCCCGTCCCTGTCCTACCGGTGACTGCCCGCCCGAATGCACGGCTATGGACCCACTCGTGCAGGATCACCTTGTGAACCCCGGTGCTGCCCTCCTCCATCGCCGGTTGTGTACACAAGTGCTGCTCTGGGTCAGACCCTTTTTCTCCTGGTTTCAGGTGGTTTTGGTATTGGTGAGCGGCTGCTGGGCCCCCAGCCCAGTATTTCATAGCCTGATACCTCCCCCAGCAGGGCCAACTGGAGTGGTCCTCACTGACACATCTGCTGGAAAAGCGGCTCTTCGCCAGGCACCGAGACAAGGTGGTGTCAGCGCAGAGCTCCTTCAGGCACAATTCTCACACTAGTCAAGCATGGAGACAAAGGGAAACTTCTTGGACACCCACAGGAGCAGCAAGAGGCGTCTGTCTCATCCCCACTAATGCCGTTTATATCCCCATCCCTGGCAGTGTTCAAGGCCAGGTTGGACACAGGGGCTTGGAGCAAGCTGCTCTAGTGGAAGGGGTCCCTGCCAATAGCAGGGGGGTTGGAACTGGAGGAGCTTTAAGGTCTCTTCATCCCAAACCATTCCGTGATTCCAGTGTGTTTTGTGCCTCTCCCTGTTACTCTCCCCTTTGAGCTGCACAGCTCCTGATCTAAAACTCAGTGAGCTGATGCTCCCACCTTCCCCTTTGTCCTCACAGGGACCCAGAAGGGTTTTGGGAAGAGGCAACAAAACCAAGCAAAGGCAGATGACAGTTTCTGTGCAAGGAGATGCTGCTTGAACCAGGACCTTCAGCCTGGAGGAGGGATGGGGAAGGCTTGGGGAGGGCTCTGTAACACCTTGTGTGGGTGGGTGGATGGAGGAGGATGCTCCGGTGTAATCACTCACTGGTGCTTCATGCGAGAGTAGGAGGAGGCATCCAGCAAGCAGCAGGTGGCAAATTGAAGCCCAATTACAGGAGGTTTTATCAGGATTAAGCTTCGGAATGTTCTGTTGGGGCCAGCAGCAGCACGAGTCTGCAGGGGCTCAGCTGAGCAGGGACATATCCACAGGAGCGGGGATCAAACCCATTAAAGGCTGTTCCACACCAGACTGCTCCTGGCTCAGGAAGCACTGGAGCCTCGGATCGATGGACATGGGCAAAGAAATGATGGCTCCCTGTGGAGGGACCGTTCTCGCCCCCAGGCACTGCCCAGGCCACAGCATCGCCCAGGCAGACCCTTAAAATGCTGTTTACTTGAGGCAGCAATGTAAAGAGAGGGTGGTGTAGAGAGAATCATGGAATCCTGGACCGGTTTGGGATGAAGGACTCTCGACCAGCAGCGCGGACCTGGCGAGGGCAGCGCGGTCCCAGGAGGCCCGGGCGGAGCTGCTCAGGGAGCTCCGCAGCTCACTACGGGTGCAGTGCAGGAGCCGTTTTGCACCCCCGATGCAGTGAGGAAGCCGCTGGCGCTGAGCCCGTCGTGTGTAAATCACCTCCCCTGCGGGAGAACGGAGCCGGCGAGAGCCCGAGCGCCCAGCAGGGATTCACAGACCGGCAGCGGCACCGCGGGAAGCAGCGGGGGGAGAGGCAGAAGTGGTTGCGTTCGGGCACAGGTTTATGTAAGAGTGGTGCTGCTGCTGAGCTGCACTGGGGCGCACTGGATGGGAGGAACAGCGGTGTCGGGAGTTACTCCCCCTGAACCGTCAGCAGCGGAGTGAGGAGTCCGGGAGCTGGGAGTTGAAATGAGGAATACCCGGCTGTGCACTGCGGGGCAGGGCAGGACGCTCCCGTCGGAGCGCTTGGAGAGGGGCAGGAGCAGCCCGGGGATTGTTGGGAATGAGCAGAAGGAGCCCCCGGGGGTGACTTCAGCAAGGGAAGTGAAAGGGAGTGAGAGATCATTGATTTCCTGAGGAATACTGAGAGAGCACGGGGCGGGTACCAGGGAAAGAGCGGCAGCGAACATGGATTTATTGGGATCAAATTGTGACGAAGCCACCTCCCTTCCCCTCTGGATGGGAAGGGTGTTGTGACGGGTGGAATAAAGAGGGAATTTAACCTGCCTGGGCTGAAATTGTGCCTGGGACGCGTTTCACACATTCAGAAGCAAGGAAAAGGGCAGAGGGAAAGCAAAGCTCATTGGAAAACAGACTTTTCCAAAGCAAAGTTCTCAATTATCCATTGTCAAAATGCAGCAAACAGTGGTTTGAAGGATCCTCCTCGTTCCTGCAGTGATTCACCATTGCCTTTACTGAGCTTTTAAGGGAGCAGCAATTTCGTTGGGTCTTGTGTAACTTGGGGTGGTAGATCTGATCTTCCAGAGAAGACCTGGCCTTTCATCACTGCATTCCATGTGCACATTCCAGACTGAGATATTATCCCACCTATTTGTCATGTCTTGTGTAGCTCCAGCATCCTGGTGTTGGGGCTGGGAGATGGCTCATGAATTAGGCAGGGAGAACAAGGCAGAAGGACTAAAAGCACCACACGGGAAGGTGACATTCGGAGCATCCTGACACAGTGGATGGGAAACCAGGAATGCCATTCACATGCTGGGAATGGGAGTGTTTATGTCAGTAAGCACCAGTATCAAACTGCTTAGGGCTTCCTGAGGGAAACTCCTGTATTCCAGTTTGTGCCCATCATACTGGGAAGAGCCTGGCTCTGTCCTCTTGCTGCCTGTTTTCATGTATGGCTGATATCCCTCCCCTTTAAATACTGGGACATGGGGATAAGGTCTCCCTGGAGCCTTCTCTAGGCTGAACCAGCCCAGTTCTCTCAGCCTGGCTCCAGAGCAGAGCTGCTCCAGCCCCTTCATCACCTTGGTGGCCCTTTGCTGGACTCAGTCCAGTCTGTCCATGTCTCTCCTGTACTGGGAAGCCCAGAACTGGACGCTGAATTCCAGATGTGGCCTCACCAGTGCTGAGCAGAGGGGAAGGCTCCTCTCCACCACTGGTCTTCCTCATCCCAACCCCAGCAGCAAGGAAGAGCTGGCTGGAAGTGTCCACATCACAAGCAGTGCCTAGAGGTGACAATGTGAAGAACGGTACTAGAACTAAGAAACAACAGTTCCTTCATCCCATCAAGGCTGAAGTCACATTCGCTTACTCCAAAACTCAAGAACAAACACAAAAGGGCCTTTTGGAGAGGTGAAGGAACTTGAGCATAATGGAAGAAGAAACCTCCGAGTATTCCTGGATGAGACACAGGAGGAGGTGATGGAAGAACATTCTGGTATTCCCATAACTGGGAAGCAAAACTAAAGCACCCACAGTTGTCTCTGCAGCAGTGTTCTCTCATGGAGGAGGCAGCTTTGGCTCATTCCACAGCAGCAGGAGACATGGTGCCTCTATGGGGAGGAACCGATGTTGGCAGAAAGTGACCCCCAAAACCTTCCCCCCCAGAAAAGCAACCTGAGCCCATGTTCCAGGGGTGCCCTGACCAGCGCCCAGCACAGTGGGACAAGGGCACCCTCATCCCTGTGGTGATGCCCCTGGGGATGTTCCCCAGCACCCCATTGGGTTTCTTTGCTCAGCTGCTCACCGCTCACTCCGATGGAGCTGGGTCCCTTCCCCTGCTCTGCTCCATACGGGCACATCCCAGCCTGTACTGCACACACTCACAGACCCCACCTCTGCTGCCCACAGTGAGAGTAAATAACACTTTGTGCTTCTGCCTTCATCCACTGCAGGGTCAGGGGGCTGCAAAGCCCCTGGGTCCCCTGTAGGTGACCGTGTGGAACCTTGGAGGATGCAGCAGTGGTTTCCACCACACCATTAAGCTGCCCCCATTAAACAAATGATAAAGTCTTGATGAATTAACTGCACTTTGCTGTGGAGATAACAGTAAATTATAGATGGACCTGCGGCTGGAGCCGGCTCTGACTCAAACATCAGCTCCCTGGTCCCCAAGAGCTACAAACAGGGAAATGGGCAAGATTTACTCACAATTTGTTCACTAAACCACAGCCCCAATGCGTTACCTGTCAGTGATGAGAAATAAAGCAAAGTCCTGCAGGACACTGTCAGCTTCCACCTCAGAATACTAGGGTATTAAGGCATTAAACATTTTTGGGGCTGTTTTCAGTTAGTAACTCAAATGAAAAGGGTGTTTTCTGTCAGTTAATGTGACCAGCCCCATAACTGACTGCACGGGGCTGCTCCGAGGTGATGCTCTGCAGCCTCGGGCCAGATCTGCAGCTCTGCTCTGGGCAAAGCATGGCCCCGATGCCACCCATTGCTGTGCAAAGGGATGCCCAAGAGATGTTTAAGCTCTTGGCCAGATATCGCAGGAAAGCAGCTACCCTGGGTAGGTTTGGATGGGATCTGAGGCAGAAGCTCTTCCCTGGGAGGGTGCTGAGGCGCTGGCACAGGGTGCCCAGAGAAGCTGTGGCTGCCCCATCCCTGGCAGTGCTCAAGGCCAGGCTGGACACAGGGGCTTGGAGCAAGCTGCTCTATGGAAGGGGTCCGTGCCCGTGGCAGGGGTTGGGAATGGAGGAGCTGTAAGGTCCCTTCCAAGCCAAACCGCTCTGTGATCCTACTGAATCATAGAATCAACTGGGCTGGAAAAGACCTTCAGATGATCAAGTCTAACCTCACCCCAGTCCCCACTAAACCATGTCACATGCAAGAAACCCCTGGAGCTATGGGGAGATGAGGTCTCATGGACAGAAGAACGCTACAGCGCACAACTTCACATGCACCCTGCTGCCTTTAGTGTGTGCTGAGGTGGAACGCAGCCACCCGCAGAGAAGGAGCCATCATGGGTTCACCAAGATGAGCTGCTCATGGTGTCTTGTTTGCTGGCCGGGCCTTGGCCAGTATCTCAGCTGCTGCGTGGAGCTCTCCACCCGTGTCCAGCAGCGCCCGCAGGTTTGCGCCCTGGTCCTGGAAGCCCATGGCGCTGAGCTGCTCCATCTGCTGCTCAAACAATCCCTGCAGCTCCTCCTCGTCCATCTCCACCTCGTCCTCTGCTCCCTCCTCACCCAGCTCCGCGCTGGCGTTGTCCTCGGTCTCGGTGCACGGTGGTGACTCCTCCATGCTCTCCAGCCCCAGCTCCAGCTGCGCGTCCCCCGGGCTGAGCAGGAAGCCCGGAGCCTCCACGGAGAGGGCCTGGAGGCCGAGCTGGATCTGCAGCAGCGCCTGCAGCGCCCGGGGGTTCCGCAGCACGGACGAGATCTCCGCCTGCTCCAGCTCCGGGGGCAGCTGCTGTTGGTCCAGGGGCAGGGAGCTTCCATCGCTGGGTGCGTGCGGGCTCAGCACCGCCTGCGCGGGGCTGCCGGGCTCCGCCAGCGCGCAGCCCAGGTTGTGCATCAGCTCCGGGCTGCCCGCCAGCTGCCGGACCATGCTCTGCACCGTGCCGGAGTCACCGCGGTCAACCCTACGGCCGGGAAGCTCTTGCTCGGTGCCACCGGAGCTGCCGGGCTCCAGAGCCCAGGGGTTGGGCAACGGGCTCCGGTTCTCGGTGTGCGCCGGCAGCCGCCCTCCGCTCGGCGATGGGCGGCTCTCCCGGGAAGCAAAGGGGTTGTGGACCATGTGCTCCTCCACGGCCTCCAGGATGGGCTCCTCGATCTCCCGGTAGAGCTGCTCCAGGGCGCTGTACCCGCCAGGGATGCTCTCGAGGTTGTTCATGGCCAGGTCATGGTTCCTTATCATCTCCTGCATGACGGCGGGGCTGCTGAAGGCCTCCAGCGTCTCCCTGATGGTGTGCGGGTTGCTGAGGATGTGGCCAATCTCGGGGTTCTCCTCCGCCAGCTGCTGCAGCTGCGGGTTGGACACGATGAGGTCCCTGACGAGGTCGGCACTGACCATGGGGCTCTGCAGCACCTTGGTGAGGAGGCCGGGCATGGACACATCCTGCTCCTCAATGCTGCTCAGCAGGTCCAGCACTCCCGTGGAGTCCAGGCCCAGGAGATAGATGCCTGTCACCCCAAGGAGGAACCCCATCAGAAACGCGTTGTTCCTGATGGTGTTCAGCTCCAAGCCTGAAGTGAGGATCCTGGACAAGAGATCCTCCATGGTCTGTGCCACGACCTCCCGGCTGGAGGCCAGCACCTCAGACAAGTTGTGATGGATCGAGCCTGGGTCCTGCCGGTCATCCATGCTTCCGGGGCTGGAACGGTTGCGGCTGGGAGGTCGCAGCAGCCTGGTCGCTCTCCCTTGCTCTGCCAGGCTGTCTGCTGCTCTCTTCTGGGACCTGATGACCACATGGATGCTGACCCCATTACGAACTCCATGCTGGCTCAACGTGTCCTGATCCTGGAGGACCTTCCCAGCAAACACCAGGACCAGCAGCTCGGGGGGTGTTTGGAACCACTTGGACACTTCCTCCTTGAGCTCCCGGATGGTGCTGTCCTGAGCCACCTCAAACTGCTCCTTCTGCTTGAGGGTCTTCACGATCACACTGATGATGCCCGAGGGCTCCATGGTGACAAGGGGCTGGCTCGGGAGCGGGGCCGAGCTCTGCTGTGCTGGAAGGCGCCGGCCACGGGCGGCAGCGGAGGCGCGGGGCCGGGGGGAGTTCACCCCGCAGGATCGTGCTCAGCGCTCGGGCGCTGCCCCCGTGCTCCCGCCCCACTGCGGCCCCTGCCCAGGGCAGCGCCGCGGAGCCCCCTGTGACATCACACTGGAGCTGCGGGAGTGGGGCCAGGGGAGGCCACGGGAACGCTCGGGGGCTGGAGCAGCTCCTGTGTGGAGCCAGGCTGAGAACACTGGGGCTGTTGAGCCTGGAGAGGAGAAGCTGCGTGGAGACCTCAGAGCAGCTTCCAGTGTGTGAAGGGGGCTGCAAGGACGCTGGGGAGGGACTCTTCATCGGGGACTGCAGTGACAGGACAAGGGGTAACGGGTTCAAACTGAAACGGGAAGTTCAGGCTGGAGAAAAGGCAGAAGCTCTTCCCTGGGAGGGTGCTGAGGCGCTGGCACAGGGTGCCCAGAGAAGCTGTGGCTGCCCCATCCCTGGCAGTGTTCAAGGCCAGGTTGGACACAGGGGCTTGGAGCAAGCTGCTCTATGGAAGGGGTCCCTGCCCGTGGCAGGGGTTGGAGCTGGATGGGCTTTAAGGTCCTTCCCAACCCAAACCTTTCCATGGCTCTCTGCAGCCGAGGAGGCAGTTCTAAACCCAGGGAGCTGCTCTGCTCCAAGGGGGATGTGGCAGTGGCCAGGTCCGGGACCAAACTGCCCAGGTCACTGTGCCACGGTCAATGAATCACCAGCTCAGCCGTTAACATCCGCAAGGCCGTGCATAATGGGCAGTAGCCGACGGATCGGGGGTATTTATGTCTCTGATGTGGTTAAACGTTACCTAAATAACCACAGGAGATGGAGCCAGAGCGTGCGCGCTTTGAATTCCACTTCCCGCTCTTGAGGGACCTTTCCATCCCCCTCGGCTCGGCTCTGGGCAGCTCTGGCCAGCAAAGACCCTTGCTGAGGACTTGGCTCTCCCCGGCGCGTGTGAGAAGTGAATGAGACCTCAGAGGCAGTGGGAGGGAAGCGGGCGTCAGTGGAGCCGCAGCGAGGAGCGCTCTGACCTCAGTGGAGGCTTGGGCAGGCTCCTCATGGTTACCAGCACTACGGAGGAGTCAACCCATTCCCCTTGGCCTGTCCCTACATCCCTTGTCCAAGCCCCTCTCCAGCTTTCCTGCAGCCCCTTCAGGCACTGGAGCTGCTCTCAGGTCTCCCCTTCAGGAGCCTTCTCTTCTCCAGGCTGGACAAGGTTCATGGATCTTGTCTCACCCTCCAGCACTTCCCAGGCCCAAAGGCTTCTTTCCATGGCCTTTAGCAGCACAGACGACACTGTGACCACCGCTGCAGAGCACCACAGAGCACCTGACACTTGCTTTGCCTTCATTACATCAAAAGAGGACCAAGAACCAACCCCAGCTGAGCACAGTGGGATCAGAGCGCTCCTGTCTCCCCATGGGCTCCCTGTGGCACAGCTGGGACCCTGGTGGAGCATCATCCAAAGCGCTCCCTCCAAATGCTCCTTCCCTCGGTTCTCTGAGCATCTGCGGAGCCACCTCCACCGGAGCCCTCGTCCCTGGCACAGCCCCTCTGAGGAGCAGGACTTGGCCTCCACCTCTGTCCAATTCTCTACCTTTGCACCATCTACAAACCTCAGCAGCAGCGATTTTACCCTGGTTTCTGCAGCACTGGTAACAGCCAGAGAACCATCAGCCCCCACACACCAATCCCTGCTGAATCCCACAGGAATGTATGGAGAAGTAGTTCTCAGAGGGGAGCAATCACTGAGAGAAGAGTTTGCAGTTCCCAGACTCCATCAGCATCTGATTTACTCATCATTTATTGATGGCTTTGCTACAGTGAGGTAGGTTTAATAACATTTGAAGGTAAGAAAACGCTCAGGGTTGTGCTCTGGCCCTAGGAAACTTCATCACCCACGTGTGGAGCTCAGCAGGAGATGAAATGAGATGATTCTGCAGCAGCTGAGCACCACAAACAGATCCTGATTGCCATTGATCCCATCCCTGCCCTTTCCACTCTTTATTGATCAAGTCTCATATTCACTTCTCCACTGTTTCACTTGGAGCTGATGCCAAATGGAGCCGCCTCGAATTTCTCTGCAGACCCATTTTAAATGTAAGCACAAGTCAGAGACTTGTTCCTGTTTGTTTCTATCCTGGTTCTGCTGAGCTGGGGTCATGGAATCATGGAATCCCAGAGCGGTTCAGGCTCCAACCCCCTGCCATGGAGCCAAGAGGGGACGAAGGAGCCAGGAGGCAACGAGGGCTCTGCTGGACCCGATGGTTTGTGGCCTCGGCCACAGTGACCCTGGGGTGTGGGGTCAGGATCCTGAGCAGAGGAAGCAGGGCCTGGTCTCCTCCAGTGGCATCACCATAAGTGGTGGGAAGGGGAACACACCGGGGCAGGGTGATGGGGACTAGGAAGGACATGTACTACAGCTGCCAATGAGCCTCAGCACCCAGCACTAAGAGGAGATGATGGGTCTGGCCCCAGAGTGCCAGCAGCACCTGCCTTGCCTTAAGAAGAGCCCTTCCAGTGAGAATCATCAGGGGCACCTCAGAACAGCCCCGGTCATCACCTGCACCACGTGCACACACAGAGCTGGAGGCCAGATAGGCACGTGGAGTTCTTTGTGGTGCTGCACCACCACTGAAGCCAACGGTCCCACTGACGAAACAGCTTCGTACCCGAGAACTTCCACTCCCCACATGGGTTTAAACATGCCTGCGCGTGCAGTCACTGCTGGAAAAGCTGCTGCAGCTCTCTGGAGCTTCCAGAGCTCTTCATTACTGGCACTCTTCAAAACACGGCTCATTTCTAATCAGAATCCCTGCCTTCATCTCCCTTCCCTCAGACGCCTCCTCCAGGGCATCACAGCGATCCTGAGCATCAGGGCTTCTCTCCTGCAGCTCCCACCCGCAGTGACGGTGCCTCGGAGCTCTCTGCAGCCCTCATGGCTCGAGCTCTTCCTCCAGCACATCAAGACTTTGTCTTTGTGTCTCCTCCCTCCAGACTCCGCTCCAAGCCCAGCCCAGAGGCCAGGAGTGGGCACCGCTCCATCCATGAGCAGGTCCGACCCCTCCAGCACCGTGACTGGCGTTAACCTGCTCCTCCCCAGCCGTCTGAGGCTAAAACACATCGTGGGTTAGAACCAGCCCCAGAAAGGGCAGCCGGGCCCAGAGCCACCAGCTCATCACATCATAGAATCAGACTGGTTTGAGTTGAAGGGACCTTAAAGCTCCTCCAGCTCCAGCCCCTGCCACGGGCAGAGACCCCTTCCATAGAGCAGCTTGCTCCAACCCCTGTGTCCAACCTGGCCTTGAGCACTGCCAGGGATGAGGCAGCCACAGCTTCCCCCTTCAACCCATTGCAGTATCCCACCACCTTATGGAGCAGAATGTCCATCAGCACTGTGCTGTCAGGACGAGAAGACCAACAGGTCCCATCGAGCACATGCTGCCCAAGTCAGTGCCATGCGGAGCACAGGACAGAACAACCTCTGTGCTCGGCGATGGGAGGTGGGCAGGTGGGAGGGTGCTGCAGCTCTTCCATGGTCTTGAGGAGCTCTGGTCCAGCCCAGGCTGCAGGAACCAGAAGCCTTCTGACAGGTCTGTGGCTGCTGCTGTCAGTGTGCCGTCCTCCGTGCCCTGATCAAGCACTAAACCCCCCATGAAGCAGTGCAGAGCTTACCCCCCTTCCACCAGAGACGTGGAACTCTGACAACGTCCCCTGAGGTCTCCAGAGCTGCCTCTGCTCCCACAGGTCCTCATGAGCATGGAGCAAGGTGCGTGGGACACTCTGGCAGTGCTCAGTGCACCGAGGTTTGAGCCCTGCTGCCCTGGTCACTTGTGAGCTCCACCAAAGCAGAGGCTTTGGTCTGCATGGACAGCGCTGCTGGGGAGGGAGAGGTGAGGAAAAGCCGCTCCTTGCTGGTCACGTTGATGATGATGTTAAACTCAGACCCTATGGCGATGCCCAGACCTGTCCCTGCTGCTCCTCCCGCCATACCTCAGTGCTCCCTCTCCATGTCTGAGGCAGGTTGTCACTGACCTCAGGGAGGAGGTTATTGGTGCACCCGGTGTATCCGTCAAGCAGAGAACAAGAAACTGAGTTCAGGGAAGCTGTTTGGTGTTGGAGCGACAAAGCAGAGGATGATCCCACACCACACACCAGACATGGGCAGAAACGGATCCTGAGGAAGAACAGGCTTCACCCTGAGCTCAACACTGAGCACAGCGCTCCTGCAGTACCCTGTGGGGTGTGTGGGGTGCAGGAGAACTTGTCCCTTTGCTCACCTTGAGAGGCTTGAGTTGAGCTCTGGACATTGTGGTTTGGGGAATACGTTCCACAGGACAAGAAACCCTTTCCTGACCTGCCGGGGCTCTTCAGCATGTACACACCTGCAGCAGGAGGTCCCTCAGCAGTGGAAGCTGTACCCATGCAGACAGGAGGATGGTGCCACGGCACCTCCAGCTCTGGTTCATGTGCCAGGCTCCGATGAGGTGTTCACCATCCAGGCACTGAGGTAACAGGCGAAGGAGCAGGCACGAAGCTGCAGGACAGCACACCCCACAGCAGCAGTGGTGGTAGCTCAGCAGGAGCCTGGTGCTCCTCGGCTGAACTCTGCCCGGTCTCTGCTGGAGGGACCATTCAGCAGAAGCATCTCCAGGGGAAACCAGGAGCAGTGAAGGGGCTGGCGACCCAAGCCCACGTTTCCAAGATCCCACCACCCTCGGCTTCTCTTGAGCATCTTCTGTTCCTCCAGCAGCGCTCAGCACCTTCTCCCCCAGCCAGGACAGGGGCACCTCCCCGTGGGGCAGAAGAGGCGAGCGACGCGCTCCCGGATCTGCCGCGTCCTCACCCCGTACACGATGGGGTTGAGCATCGGCGGGACCACGACGTAGAGGTTGGCCAGGAGGATGTGGACGTGGCTGGGGATGTGGGGGCCGAAGCGGTGTGTGAGGAAGGAGAAGAAGGCGGGCACATAGAACATGAGGATGACGCAGAGGTGGGAGCCGCAGGTGCTCAGGGTCTTGACCCGTGCCTCGGGGGACGGGAGGCGGAACACGGCCCGGAGGATGAGCACGTAGGACACGGCAATGAGCACCACATCCAGCCCCGAGGAGAGCAGGGCCGTGGTCAGCCCGTACCACACGTTGGCCCTGATGTCGGCGCAGGCGAGGCGTGCGATGCCCATGTGCTCGCAGTACGTGTGGGGCATGACGTTGTGCCCACAGTAGGGCAGGCGCTTGAGGAGGAAGATGGGGGGGAACATGATGCAGAAGGCACGGATCACGGCGGTCGCAGCCATCTTCCCGATGACAGAGGGCGTGAGGGTGGCCGCGTAGCGCAGCGGGTGGCAGACGGCCACGTAGCGGTCGAAGGCCATGGCCAGCAGCACCGAGGACTCCACGATGAAGCTGAAGTGGGTGAAGAACATCTGCGTGACGCAGGCGTCGAAGGAGATCTCCCGCGCGCTGAACCAGAAGATCGCCAGCATTTTGGGCACGGTGGTGGTGGAGAGCATGAGGTCGGCAACAGCCAGCATGGCCAGGAACAGGTACATGGGCTCATGCAGGCTCCTGTCCGTGGCGATGACGAAGAGCAGGACCGCGTTGCTGAACACAGCGGTGATGTACATGAGGCAGAAGGGGACGGAGATCCAGACATGGGACTCCTCCATGCCCGGGATGCCCGTCAGCACGAAGGTGATTGGGTCAAAGCTGCTCTCGTTGAGCTCGTACATGGTGCTGCCGGGCTCAGGGCCAGCTCTGTGCAAGAGAAGGGACAGCTGAGGCCTGGAGAGCCTGCTCTCAGCCCAGTACACATACAAAGGTGAACAACATAGTCTTCAATTTCCATTCACCTTCCATCCTAAGCCATTCCTGAAGGCCAAAGGATTGATTCACTGTGTTTTACCGCACAAAGAAATCCACTCATTTGATGCTATCAACCCTACAAACTGTCTGTAAGGAAAACATCTTCTCTGTGCCTCCATGTGCACCAGTCCGGGCCAGGTCCTCCCCATCTCCATCTCCCCATCTCTACTGCCATAAAAAGGCTTCTCAAAGTCAAAGGAGTCAAAGAGGGGAGACTGAGCTGAGCTCTTAGGCAGAAGCTCTTCCCTGGGAGGGTGCTGAGGCGCTGGCCCAGGGTGCCCAGAGAAGCTGTGGCTGCCCCATCCCTGGCAGTGCTCAAGGCCAGGTTGGACACAGGGGCTTGGAGCAAGCTGCTCTATGGAAGGGGTCCCTGCCCAGGGCAGGGGTTGGGGCTGGAGGAGCTTTAAGGTTCCTTCACCCCAATGCATTCCATGCCTCCATGGCACAGCAGTGTCTCTGTTCAGGTCAGTGCCCAGGTCACCTCTGAGAGCTCCTTGTACGAACCTTCAGGGTAGGAATGAAACTGCACCAGGGCCAGCACTGAGAAGTGTCTGGAACGTGGCTCCCATTGAACCCCCACCTCTGAAGGTTGTGACCACCACAGAGCCCTCTGTAACACTTGCACTTGATGATCTTAAAGTTCTTTCCAACTTCATTATCCCATGATCCTACACTGGACACGTAACTCCCCATATTCCCACCTGTATAAACACGTGCACCTCATTGCAGACACCACAAAGTGCTCTTTGTTCCTCTCCCCCATCCACAGGGATCACCGAGACATAAACACCGAGGGGGAAAGGAGAGTGCAGGGCTGGAATTCCTTCCCATGCCCAGACTTTCTGATTGACCTGGAGCAACTCTCCCCCCTGGGAGATTCCTGCCTTTCCATAGGATCCCAGCCTGGTTTGGGTTGAAGAGACCTTAAAGCTCCAGCCTCTGCCATGGGCAGGGACACCTTCCACTAGAGCAGATCAACACCACCTTCACCTGAGCTTCCCAGGATATGGAAACATCTCATTCACAAGCTCCTCTATTCCCTCTCACTCTTCCCAAAGGAGGAGGCATCACCCCAGATGGGGTTTGATGGAAAAAACTCACCAAGGAGCAGCCCGAGGAGGAAGGAGGAACCTCAGCCCCAGCTGCTGGGGTCACAACTGTCCCGCTACCGAATCCCAGTGGGAACATCAGCCCGGTGCCTTGTGCAGTTTTAAATGCTCAGTGCATTAACCATTAACAGCATTAACACGTCCTGCCCGGGTGCAACATTCCTGCTCCCGGCATTTGCATTCCAAGATGCTTTGCTCCATCCCCACCTGGACACCAGCCCCTGAGCACAGGCAGGGCTTACAGGGGCACACTCCAGCCTGGAGAAGAGAAGCTCTTTAATGGGAGACCTGAGAGCAGCTCCAGTGCCTAAAGGGGCTGCAGGGAACCTGGAGAGGGGCTTGGGACAAGGGCCTGTAGGGCCAGGCCAAGGGGAATGACTTTAACCTGCCCGAGGGGAGACTGAGCTGAGCTCTTAGGCAGAAGCTCTTCCCTGGGAGGGTGCTGAGGCGCTGGCACAGGGTGCCCAGAGAAGCTGTGGCTGCCCCATCCCTGGCAGTGTTCAAGGCCAGGTTGGACACAGGGGCTTGGAGCAAGCTGCTCTATGGAAGGGGTCCCTGCCCGTGGCAGGGGTTGGGACTGGGTGAGCTTTAAGGTCCCTTCATCCCAAACCATTCCATGATTCTATGATCTCTGATGTTCGGGATGTCTTTTATCCCCCATGTATGAAATGATTTGAACACACTTTGCCTGCAACCAACATGGGGAACATCCATCAGTGCAGCAGCAGAAGAGTCTGAATACAGAAGACTGTGAATAAACGCTTTATTTTCCATCCTAGCACCAAATGATGCAAATGCAGGCTCCGTGACGCGGAGCAGGCAGCGCGGTGACGCGCTGAGGGACGGGCTGGGATCCAGAGGGACCGGGACAGGCCGGAGAAGTGGGAACCTCCTGGAGCTCAGCCCTCAGGGCAAAGGCAAGGGCCTGCCCCTGGGTCGGGGCAGTCCCAGCAGACCCAGGCCGGGGGAGGAGCCGGGGTCTCACCGGTATCCAGGTCAGGAGGGAGCTTCCCTGGAGCGGGCAGGTGCTGCTGTCCTGGGGGCGGCGGAAACCGGGACCTGTTCCTGGGATCAGCCTCTGGTTAAAGGGAGAGGTGAGGGGCGTCCGGAGGGGATGGAGTGACCTGACCTGACCCTGCCAGGAACCGGGCAGCCTCGGTGGGCTCTGGAAGCGGGGATCCCGGCTCCCCGCACGGCTGCCGGGAAGCTCCTTCCCCCAAAGCCCGGCTCCCAGCGCCCCTGAACGCGGCCGCTCGTCGGCTGCCACTGGGAGGGCTCAGGGACGGGATCAGGAGGGAAAGGCGCTGGCTCAGCAGGAGCAGCGCTCTCGCTCACAGCACCCCCATGCCCCCGTGAAGCGCGGACGCGGCCGTTCTAACCCAGCTCGTTGGGATGAGCCGTGAGCGGGCGGCAGCACAGACCCGTCCTGAGGAGCTCTGCTGGGGACACCGGCTCTGGATCACCCGCACAGGGAGAACGGGCGCGGGGGGGCCCGGTGCTGCGCGGGCGGCACCAGCTCCACATCCGCACCCGGGAGCGCTGCGGAGATGCCCGCGGGGGCCGCAGGACGGGGCTGGAGGAGCTTTAGGGTGCGTCCAGCACGAACCGCGCTCGGATCGGATCGGACCGGACCGGACCGGACCGGACCGGACCGGACCCGCGGCTCCGGCCTCGGCTCAGCCCAGGCCCGGCCCGGCCCTGGCCTGCCCTTTCCCTCCCCGCCGCTGCCGCCGCTGAACGGGACCCGGGCACTACCCAGCGGCCCCGAGCGCTGCGCAGGAAGTGACGTCCATCTCCCGCGCCGCCGGGAAGCCACTTCCGGCGCCCTCCAGGATAAAAGGCTCCGCGGGAGGCTCGCGGTCTCTTCTTCGCCGCGCGGCCCAAGATGGCGGACACGCAGGTGAGGGGCGGAGCGGAGCCTGCCCGCGGGCGTGCTCCGGACACACCGCGGAGCCCGCTCGGCCTCGGCACGGAGCGGCTGCGGCCCGGAGACGGGCGGCGGGAGCGGCCTGAGCGCCGCGGTGAGGCGGGGGTGGTGACTGCCGGGGGGCCGGGCCCGGCGATGGGGCCCCGGAGCCGCCGGGGTCAGGGGGAGGATCCCGGCGCCGATCCCGGCGTTGGGGTCAGGATCCCGGTGCCGTTCCCGGCCTTGGGGTCAGGACCCCGGTGTCGTTCCCGGTGCCCCCCGTGACCGTTCCCGTTCCCCGCAGACGGAGCGCGCGTACCAGAAGCAGCCCACCATCTTCCAGAACAAGAAGCGGGTGCTGCTGGGCGAGGGTGGCAAGGAGAAGCTGCCCCGGTACTACAAGAACATCGGCCTCGGCTTCAAGACCCCCAAGGAGGTGACGTGGGGCAGGGCGTGTCCCACCACCCCCGGCACCGCCCAGGCCACCCCGGACCCCGTCCCCAGGGCCCTCATCCAGCCCCGGGCTCGGTGCTGGCTCCTGCAGGTGGTGACCAGCACCACCGGGTCCTGCTGCCCCACGCCTGGAGCACTCCGGGGGGGGAGTGTGGCCCGAGGGCAGGTCCCAGCACTGAGCCTGGTTCAGCCTCATCCCATGGGCCCAGACCCCTCTGTGAAGCCTTCCCCCCTCCTGCAGCTCAAGGCTCCCACCCAACTTGGTGTCACCTTAACGTCGACCACGGGTGCCCTCGCTCCCCGACACTGGCCACGCGTGGTCCTGGAAGCGTTTCTCATCCATCTGCTAACTCCTCTCTCTACAGGCCATTGAGGGCACCTACATTGACAAGAAGTGTCCCTTCACGGGCAACGTGTCCATCCGTGGCCGCATCCTCTCGGGTGAGTGGTGGTTCCTCGAGGGGCAGCACCCATGGGTGCTCATGCTCTGTCCTGGAGCTCCTGGCAGCCCCAGTGAGGTCCTCGGGCAGCATGTGATGTCTTTCTCTCACGATGGTCTTCCAAGCCCCCCGGTGAAGGGGCTCTGCTGACAGTGCCATGTGGCTTTGCTGATGCCCAGCCCGAGGAACCGGCCATGGTGGGGTCCTGCCAGATGTGCTGCTGCCCGGGGCAGATGCTGGGGCCAGGCAGTGTGGGTGTTGAGGGAGCGTATCAGGCTCTGCTTCGAGGGGCTTAGGAAGAAATGATGTGGTTTAGAATCAGATGTGAAGTTTGGAGCCTGGGGGTGAGGAGGAGAGCCCGGTCCATTGTGGCAGAGACCTTCAGAGCCCCCCAAGGGATCTGCCAGAGCTTGTTCTGGAGGTGAGGGAGGAGAAATGGGTGGGTGCTGAGAGCCTTGGGTTGTCCTCATCCTGCTGATCCATGGAGCTGCTGGTAGGCTGGAGCAGCTCTGCTCTGGAGAAAGGCTGAGAGAGCTGGGCTGGGTCAGCCTGGAGAAGAGAAGGCTCCTGAAGGGGAGACCTGAGAGCAGCTCCAGTGCCTAAAGGGGCTGCAGGAAAGCTGGAGAGGGGCTTGGGACAAGGACCTGTGGGGCCAGGCCAAGGGGAATGGCTTTAACCTGCCCAAGGGGAGACTGAGCTGAGCTCTTAGAGAGAAGCTCTTCCCTGTGAGGGTGCTGAGGCGCTGGCACAGGGTGCCCAGTGAAGCTGTGGCTGCCCCATCCCTGGCAGTGTTCAAGGCCAGGTTGGACACAGGGGCTTGGAGCAAGCTACTCCAGTGGAAGGGGTCCCTGCCCATGGCAGGGGTTGGAGCTGGAGGAGCTTTAAGCTCCCTCCAGGCCATCCCACTCCATGACTGTGTAACCACCCTGTCCTTGTTGTCCCAGGTGTGGTGACCAAGATGAAGATGCAGCGCACCATCGTCATCCGCAGGGATTACCTGCACTACATCCGCAAGTACAACCGCTTCGAGAAGCGCCACAAGAACATGTCCGTGCACCTCTCACCCTGCTTCAGGTACCTGCTGGCCCCATGGGGGGGTTGGGGGGTCACCAGACTGTTCCACACTGCTGAGCACTGCCTGACACCAACGCTGAGCCCACCCCTGGTATGGAACCCAGCAAGTGCCCACCTCCACGTGGCTTCATGGCCCCGTCTGACCCGGAACCTGCCTCTGGTGGTGATGTCCAATCTCACGATGGTCTTCAGAGCCCCCCAGCACGGGCCTGCTGACAACGCCAGTGGCAACTGCTGAACCAGAGACAGGTTCTGATCAGGTCACAGATAACAAGGGGGTGGCTTTAACCTGCCCAAGGAGTTAGTGGGGAGTTAGGAAGTTCTTCAGCACGAGGGTGGTGGGACACTGGCACAGGGTGCCCAGAGAAGCTGTGGCTGCCCCATCCCTGGCAGTGTTCAAGGCCAGGTTGGACACAGGGCCTTGGAGCAAGCTGCTCCAGTGGAAGGGGTCCCTGCCCGTGGCAGGGGTTGGAACTGAATGAGCTTTAAAATCCCTTCAACCCCAACCATTCCATGATGATCCCGTGTTCCTCACTTAAAGGCTGAGGATGGGCTCAGAGCTGGTGGGTTTTGTCCACCACTCAAGTCCTGAGCCTCTTATGCAGGTGTCACAGCCTCCCTTGTCCACCTAAAGAAGGGGTTAGCATCCTCCAGGCACCCCTGTGTGACCAGGAGGAAATCTCCCCGTCACTGCGGGGTTCCCTTCCATGCTCATCCCTCAGCCCCTCTTGAGCCTCAGCCCAGTGGGGAGCGATGGGCTCCATGGGGGCAACAGCTCCCCTTGGGGCTCCAAAACCAGACCAGCTCACTTTAGATCTTCATCTGAGGTGGCCTCTGGTGCATGTCTCTGGGGGGCACCGGGCAGTGGTGCCCAGAGGCCGTGGGGAGGGGAGTCGGGAGCGGCTGCAATCCCAGGAATGTCTGTGCAGGGACGTGCAGATCGGGGACATCGTCACGGTGGGTGAGTGCCGGCCCCTCAGCAAGACCGTGCGCTTCAACGTGCTCAAGGTCACCAAAGCTGCGGGCACCAAGAAGCAGTTCCAGAAGTTCTGAGGCAGCAGCTGCAGAAATAAACGTGATGGAAAGGTCCCTGTGTGTGGTGGTGCCAGGGGGAGCGGCACGGGGGCACCGGGGTGTCTGTCAGAGAGCCATGGAGTGGGGCTGGAGAAGAGCTCAAGGTTGGACAGGGCTTGGAGCGAGCTGCTCTAGTGGAAGGGGTCCCTGCCCATGGCAGGGGTTGGAGCTGGAGGGGCTTCAAGGTCCTTTCCAGTCCGACCCATTCCATGATTCCAAGTGCTGCAGAAGGCTTCAGAGGCTCCATCGCAGCAGCTGCTAGATCCTGATGTTCCCATCACCCAGATGGGATCCCAGCAAAATCCTGGTTTTCCAGCCTCGGGGCACCAGGAGGCTCATGTCATCCTTGGGGAGGCGGACCTGGGGCTTGATCCAGTGGAGCAGACCGGAGCAGAGATGTTCCTACTGGGAAGGGTGGGGAAAGGTGCTGTGGCCAGCAGAGCAATGGAGACACCTCTTGGAGGCCACTCTCTGCTGTCCCTTATAAGGTGTGAGGGGGACAGGATGTCACCAGAAGGGCTGGGCCGTGTCCACAGAAGGTGTCGCCATGAAGGCTTCTGGGTCCGTGTCTGAAACCAGCCCCGTGGAGAGCCAGGGCTTGGATCCACATGGACAAGGGATCCTTGTGCTCTGCCTCTGGCTTCCAGTCACCGTCCTGCCCATAGGCTGTGCTCAGGCAGCTCCTGCCATCCCAACCCTGTTTGCTCCACCACATCAAGTGGTGCCACGTGGAGCATCCAACCGGCTCCGATGGGATGGAGCCCCAGCGTCTCCCCCAGAGCCCCCCCTGGGTCCTGCCCAGTCCCTCACCTACTGCTGCCACTGCTCCCAACCCTGTCCCTGGCAGGGGGAGCGCAGCACGTGGTGTGAGAGAACATCATCGTCATCCTGCTCTTCTTCCTTGGAGGGTGTTTGCACCCAGGTGTGCCCCCCTGCACCTCAGTAACCACCCTCCCCTGTGTCACACCCCCCCACACACACCTTCCATGTCAACCCCCCCCCCGTGCACCCCAGTGTGTGTGTCCCATCTGCACCCCTTCTACTGCTTGGGGGGGCAGCCCCACACCCCCATTGCTGGGTCCCCCCGGCGCAGGCAGCAGCAGACGCAGCCTCAACAACAAACCAGCCCCTTTATTGCAGCTGGGTCTGACCCCCAGAGCCCCCCCATGCACCCGCCCCACACCCCTCCCAGGGCACCCACAACCCCCCAGCGCGCCCCACGAGCAGTTGGTGGGTGCCAGGGCTGCAGCCACCCATGGAGGGGGCCAGGGTCCTGCCCTGCCACTGCCCCCCGGCTGCAGAGGTCAGAGGGGGGGCTCGCCCTCGGGGGGCTGGCACAGGAAGGGCGAGGTGACGGCGTGAGCCTGCGCGATGGCCGCCAGCTCCTTGAGGAACTCGCTGAAGATGACGGCGCTGTAGACCCCGTTCCGCACGCGCAGCGCCGGGCTCTGCCGCTCGCCCCACGGCCACGGGCCCCCTGCGCCCCCCCCGGCCCGTGGCCCCGGTGCTGGGCCCAGCCGCAGCCGCGTGGGGCTGGAGCTGGGCCGCAACAGCAGCTCCCCAAGCGACGGCCGCCGGCTGCGGGCTGGGGCCGACAGTCAGGGGGGGGCATGGACGCCCCCACACTGCGGGAGGCCAGTGCCCCGAGCACCCCTGACACCCCCTGACCCACTGCGGGGACCCACACAGTGCCCAGCCCCTGTACAACACCATGTCCCCATCTCATATACCCACATCCCATGTCTCACATCCCGATCCCATGTCCCCATCTCATATCCCCACATCCCTCCACCATGTCCCCATCCCATATCCCTTTCCCAGGTCCCCACCTCATATCCCCCATCCCACATTCCCCTATCCCGTATCTCCCACCCAACATCCCCATCCCATGTTCCCACCCCATGTCCCATCAGTGTCCCCATCCTGTATCCCCATCTCATGTCCCTTCAGTGTCCCCATCCCCTGTCCCCATCTCATATCCCCATCCCACGTCTCCCATCCCATGTCCCATCAGTGTCCCCATCCTGTATCCCCATCTCATGTCCCTTCAGTGTCCCCATCCCATGTCTCCCATCCCACATCCCCATCCGATGTTCCCACCCCCTGTCCCATCAGTGTCCCCACCCCATATTCCCATCCCATGTCGCCTCAGGGTCCCCATCTCATATCCCCACCCATATCCCCAACCCCTGTCCCCATCCCATGTCCTCACCCGGGGTCTCGCTGCGCCGAGGGGGAGTCCCTGTGCCCGAGCCCTCGGTGCCCTCGAGCCGCCCGATCAGGTACTTCTTGGCCTTGAAGAGCAGCACCGGGAAATCCTCCTGCGTGGCCGCGAACGCCTCGATCTTGTTCTTCACGGAGCCCAGGACCTGCGGCAGGAGCAGAGGGCACAGGAGGGGCTGGGACCCCCACCTGGGACCCACCCAGGGCCCCAAGCGAATGCCGCACCGGTACCTGCAGCAGGGACTTGACGCTGGGCTGGAAAACCATGTTGGTGTTGAGCAGGAAGGAGCGGAGCAGGGGCTGGGGGTAGCAGGCGAGCTGGGCCACGAGCCCCGTGAGCAGCACGTTCACGTACAGCGAGTTGTGGGGCATGTTCTCCAGCTTGGCCAGCAGCGCCGACACGAAGGGACCTGCGCCGGCAGCGGCGGCTCAGCCGACACCGGCACCTGGAGCCACCGGCACCACCGCGAGGCGGGGGGGGGCTCATGGGCAGTGGGACCCCCCCACGTGAAGGGCTGGCTGGGGTCAGCCCTGTGGCCAGTGCGACCCCCTGGTACAACCCCATCTCCCAGCTGTGAAGGGCTGGTTGGAGCAGCTCCACATACCCACATCCCACCTATGGAGGGCTGCCTGGGGGCAACCCTGTGGCCACTGTGACCCTCTGGTACAACCCCATATCCCAGCTGCAAAGGGCTGATTTGGGGCAGCCTCGTATCCCGCTGTCCCACCAGTGAGGGGCTGGTTATGGGGCAGCCCCACCACCCCATGGGCTCACCTGTGAAGGGCTGGTTGGGGGGCGGCCCCACAGCTCGCGGCGGGGAAGCCACTGCTTGTGCCAGCGGGTCCGGTGGCCGCGGGGGGGGGCTGGTGAAGCTGGTGAAGGTCTCCTCCTCCTCCTCATCCTCCTCCTCCTCATGCGGCACTTTGGGGGGATCGTGGGGCTCAGTGGCCCCCTCATCCCCATCGTCCCCATCGCTGCCATTCTTCATCCTGGCCTCGAGCCTTTGCAGCTCCTCGGTGAAGGCCTCGATGGTGCCGCCGTTGGGCTCCGCGGGCGCGTTGGCCAAGAGCTCGTCCAGCACCGAGTCCACAGCGGGCAGCGGCTCCCGCGGCCGGGGCCTCCCCTCGCCCCCGTCCTCCTCCTCCTCCTCCTCCTCCTCCTCCTCCCGCTGCCGCCGCCGAACTTTCTTCACCACCACATCGCCCTCGGGCCGGCCCGGAGCCGCCGGCACATGCGTCCCGTTAACCACCGGCCCCGACTCCCGGCGCTCGGGGCTGGGCCCGGCCGTGCCGGTGTCACCGGCGCCACCACCGGGGGGTCCCTCCGGCAAACCCCGTTTCTTTGTCCGTGGGGATGGGGGACGTGGGGCAGTGGTGTCTGTGGGGAGCCCGTCCCCATCGCCCCGCGGCTCCTCGCCATCGTAGGGCGCTGACCACACGCGGCAGGCCCACGCGCAGCGGTCGATGCTGTGCCGCGCGTCCCGCAAGTATTCCAGGTAATTCCCGTCCAGCTCCGACACCTCATCCCACCTCCCAGCGCGGTGCCCAGGGCTGCCAGAGGGGGTTCCGGGAGAGCGCGGGGCCGCGCCATTGCCGTCACTCGCCGCATTGTGCTGCCGCATGAAGAAGGAGAGACGGGATGGGGTGGACGGCTTCGGCGCCGGTGCCGGTGCTGCGTCCGTGGTGGGGCTGCCAGGACCTGTGGGGAGGGCAAAGGGCTGGGACTGGGACTGGGGGTGACCTGGCAACCCAAGGAACACCAGGCTCAGCATGGGAATAAAGGTTGACCTGGCAGCCCAAAGGACACTGGGACAGCACAAAGGCAGCTCAAGGCTGGGATATGGGTTGACCCGGCAGCCCGAGGGATACAGGGCTGGGCTATGGGGTGATCTGGCAGCCCAGGGGACAGAGGGTTGGCATATGGGTGACCAGGGGACACAGGGACACTGGCTCCGTACCCCTGCTCCAGGCAGCCGGATCCTGGTCACGGGGGGGCAGGGGCGGGCTCTGGGGCTGGCAGCACTGTGGGATGAGGGACAGGAACTTGGCAGCCGTCCTGCCATAGATGTCCAGGTCTCTGACCGCCCGCTTCTGGCTCAGCATGAGGTGGCTGCAGGGCAGCAGGTACCTGGGGGACACACACATCAGGGGACACGTGTGTGGGGGGAACACACATGCAGGGGGACATGTGTTGGGGGGACAAGTGTGTGCTGTCAGGACAGGGGGGGTACCTGAGCACCAGCTGCAGCATCACGTCCTCACAGTTGAGGCTGAGCAGGGTCCGGAAGAGGCTCAGGGACACCATGCAGAGCTGGGGACAGCGCCACATCAGGGGATGCAGTGGGGCAGCCCATTGGGCAGCGCCATGGGGCAGCCCCGCAGCGGGGAAGGGCCATGGCTGGACAGTCCATTGGGGTGTCCATGGGGCAGCCCTGCAGTGGGGCAGCAGCTCAGGGCGCTGTGGGAGGTTCCGGGGGCAGTCTGTGGGGCAGCCCCCAGGGCAGCCCCGGCACTCACCCGGGCATTGCTGTTGATGCGGGCAATGAGCGTGTCCAGGATGGTGCTGCCGTCGTGGCGGTGCAGCAGGAGGAAGCGCAGGAAGGTGCGGAGCAGCGCCGGAGCGCTGGCGCTGCGCAGGAACAGCTCCAGGTACGCGGTGCTGGCCACCGCCTCCTCCACCGATGTCTGCGGGCACGGCATCGTGGGGCTGGGGCTGGCCCTGGACCCAGGGGCAGGAGCTGGGAGGCAGGGTCTATGGGGCAGGGTCCATGGGGCTGTGGGACTCACCTTGTGCAGTGCCGGGCCCATGACGGGCACCAGGAACCCGTTGTGGATGTATTCTACCAGCTGCTTCTGCACCAGCGGGTGGGCGACCTGTGGGGCACGAAACAAGGAGCATGGCCATGGCCAGACCCACAGCAGAGTCACGAGCCCCACAGTGGTCTCCTGCCCCGCGGCCCTCCCTGGACCTCCCCCCCCCGCAGTACCTGAAGAACGGCATTGCAGAACTCAAGGCTGTTGATGAAGAGCACAAGCGGGGCCACCCCCAGCCAGTCGCGGCGCCGCAGCCGGTGCCATTCGTCACCTGGTACCTCCAGGCGCCGCGGCAGCGACGAGTACAGAGCGCTCAGCCCCGCGGCCAGCACCTGTGGGGACACGGGCACAGGCATGGAGACCTGCATCCAACATCCCATCCCGACATCGCAACCCAATATCTTCGTCCAATCTCCGCCCCTCCAAGTTCTCCATCTCCATCCTCTCCATCTCCATCCCTCCAAGTTCTCCATCTCCATCCTGACATCTCGAATCCTCCAAGTTCTCCATCTCCATCCTCTCCATCTCCACCCTGACATCTTGAATCCTCCAAGTTCTCCATTTCCACCCCCTCCACTGCCATCCCCTCCGCCTCCACCCTCTCTATCCCCCTTACCTTATCTCCATTCTCCATACCCACTCTCCATTCCTCTGCCTCCATCCCCTCCATCTCCATCCCTCCACCTCCATCTTGTCCATCCCTATCGCCTCCACCTCCATCCCCTTCATCCGCATCCTTCCACCCCCATCTCCCAGTTCTCCATCTGTACCGGGCAGAAGTAGGAGTTGTCGGTGATGGACTTGGCCACGGCGTGGTTGTTGGCCGACATGGCCATGATGAGCAGCAGCGCATCCCTGGCCTGCTGCCCCAGGACGCCCTCGTGGTGGATGAAGGGGACGAGGAGCGAGAAGATGATGATGTTGGCGGGGCCCTGCTCAGAGGGGCTGTGGAAGAAGAGCTCCAGGATGGCAGGCTCCTTGGCCACGCAGACGCAGAGCTGGTTGAGCAGGAGGACGAGGCCGTGCTGCAGCGCGGGGGACGAGGGCTGTGCGCACAGGCGCAGGAGGCGCAGGAGCGGGGCGCGCACGGCACCGTGCCGCAGCACCGCCTGCCGCGCCTGCGCCAGCAGCACCTCGTAGAGCCGCAGCTGCTCCAGGCGCTGCTCCTCGGGGAAGCCGCTGCGAGCGTGCCAGCGCAGCAGCCGCGCCAGCACCTGCTCCTGCGCCACGAACGCCAGGATGGGTCCCGGCTGCGCCGCGCCCGCCCGCGGCCGCTCCTCTGCCAACAGCTGCAGCATCTGCAGCGAGTGGTTCCGCACTGCTGCCACGTCATCCGGGGTCGGGGGGCAGCCGCCACGCTCCAGCACCCGCAGCACCTGCGGGACGGGGATCGGTGAGTGCCGGGGTCCATGTCCCCGTGTGGTGGTGGGACCCGACACGACACATGGCAGCGGGGTGGGATGCCACAGTCCCCATTCCCATGGTGGTCCATGTCTCCTTGTGGTGGTGAACAGGACGTGACACATGGTGGTGGCACTAAGTGCCATGTCCCCATGGTTACGACATGGCACAAGGTATGGTGGCAGCAGCATTGAATGCAAGGGTCTATGTATGTTGGTGGCGGGACACGACATGACACAGAGCGGTCCATGTCCCCATGTGGTGGTGGGACATGACGTATGCTGGCAGCACTGGGTGCTCGGGTTCCCATCCCCATGCCATGTCCCTGTGATGGTCCATGTCCCCACGTAGCAGTGGAGAGCCCTGACATGACATGTGGTGGCAACACTGGGTGCCAGGGTCCATGTCCTCATGTGGTGGGACATGATAAGATGCCTGGTGGCCACATTGAGTGCCGTGTCCCCATATCCCTGTGCCGTGTTCCCATGTCCCCACAGCTCACCTGGGACCAGTGGTTCTTGAAGACCATGAGGCAGGTCTCGGGGTCGGCAGTGACGGGGCTGGTGGCGCCGGTGCTGCGGGGGGGCCTCTGCCCACCCGCCCGCGGTGTCAGCTTGGACAGCCAGCTCATCCGCTCCATGGCCAACGCGCTCAATGGCACCAGGACGGGGCTGCCACCACGGGGACACTCACCCCATGCTGGTGGCACACAGGGCTGCACTGTGGGGACAGCGGTGACTCAGAGACCACAAGGACAGGGCAACCCCATAAGGTCTCCATCTCCATCCCTCCACCTCCATCCCTCCATCTCTATCACTCCAACCCCATCCCAACATCTCCATCTCCTCCATCTCCATCCCTCCATCTCTGACCCCGGCACCACTCGGCAGCACAGGGAGCACTGGGACCCAGCAGCCGGTGCCATGGAGCACGTGGTGGCCCCAGGCCAGGCCTGGCGGTGACGGGATGGAGCAGCCAGGTGACCGCATGGTGCCAGAGCACCGGGAACAGCACGAGGAAGGGGATGGGCGGGTGCCAGTGGCGCTCCCAGCCCTGCACTTTGGACTGGGAGCAGCCCAGCCCCAGCATGGGGGAAGCTCCCAGCACCCAACCAGGATAACGGGACAACTGGGACGGCCACCCCGGCTCCATCCTACTCCATCCCATCACCTCCACCCTACCTGGCTCTATCCTATCAGCTCCATCCCAACCACCTCAATCCCATTGGCTCCATCCTCGCTCCATCCCAACACGTGTCCCTGTTGCAGGACATGGCTCTGGCCTCTCCCGTGGTGCCGGGTGATTCCCGGTGCCCACTGGCACACAGACACCGGGACGAGCCCCGGCACAGCCGGGAGATACCGGCCCCATGGCAGCCCCATTCGGGCAGCTCTGTGCACATCCCCGGGCCGGTGCCCCGGAACAGCCGGAGCCCCGTGCCCGGAGCAGGGTCCCGGTAGCCCGGGAAAGGCCTTGTCGCGGTCCCCGCGTGTGCCCGGGGCAGGCACAGGGCACGACCCGGTGCCCCGGTACGAGCGGGGGCCGGTACCGGATCCCGCCGCCGCCTACCTGGGGTCAAGGTCACGGCAGCTCCGTCCCGTCAGCGCCGACCCTGAGGGGATCGAGGAGGCGTCGGGCGGACGCTGGGCCCGGCCCCGAGCCCCGGTACCGGCCGCGGCCCGGTTCGACTCCGGCGGCGCGGCGCGGCCCAGGCCCGGCCCCGCTCCCGGCCCCACCTTGGGTCCCCCCGGCCCGGGTCCCCCGCGGGGCCCCTCCCAGCCGGGTCCCCGCCCGTTCCCCGCCCGCAGGCCCCGGCCCGCCCCGGCCCCGGCCCCGGCCCGGCTCCGCTCCCCCGGCCCCGCCGCTCACCAGCCGCCCCCCCCGCGGGCCGCGCACGACCGCCGCCATCTTCCCGCCGCCGCCCGGCGCGCCGGACGCGCAGGACACGCCCACCGCCGGCATAGGCCACGCCCCGTGTCAGGGTCACCACGCCCACTGTCAGGTAGACCCCGCCCATTGCCTCTTTGACCACGCCTTCCTATACTGAGGACCCACCCCGCCCGTTCCGTGGGCGGGGTCAGGCGGGGCGTTGCTGAGCGCTCATTGGCTGTTCTGAGCACGGGGTGGGGCCAGCCGGGGAGGCGGGGCCTGAGCCCTGGGGAGTCGCGTGGGTCGAGGGGCGCTGGGGACGGGAGCGGGGAAGCGGCTGGGAGCAGGGAGCACCCTAAAGCGGGAGCCCCCGCAACGGGACCCTCCCTGCACCACGAACCCTGCTCCAGGGACCGCCTGCACCGGGCGTCCCCTGCACGGGGACCCCCAACGGGACCCTCCCTGCACCACGAACCCTGCTCCAGGGACTGCCTGCACCGGGCGTCCCCTGCACGGGGACCCTCCCTGCACCACGAACCCTGCTCCAGGGACTGCCTGCACCGGGCGTCCCCTGCACGGGGACCCTCCCTGCACCACGAACCCTGCTCCAGGGACCGCCTGCACCGGGCGTCCCCTGCACGGGGGACCCCCAATGGGAACCCCCCTGCACTGGGCACCCCCTACACCAGGTACCGCCTGCACACAGCACCCCGCTACAACCGGAGCCCCCATTCAAAGGGCACCCCCACAGTGGGCACCCCCATAGCAAGCACCCCCCTACACTGCGTACCCCTCACCGGGAACCCCCTCGACAGGAACCCCTGCACTGGGCACCCCCATAACGGGCACCCCGGGCTCTGCTCCATCAGCCTAAGACAGATACCGGGAGCTGCCACCGTGCCTGGAGCAGCCGCGGCCATGGGCACCGGCCCCGGCCCCAGGCTCCACCGGTGACACCGCAGGGACCGGAGTTGCCAGGGCGCTGGCGGCTGCGTCACGGTGCCTGGGGACAAGCTCTGTGTCACTGCTGGGCTGCAGCACTGGTACCGAGAGCAGGAACCGAGACCCACGGCACGGGATGAGCAGCACCGGCCACCGGCTGTGCCTGCGGTGGCTCCGGCGGCAACTCTGGTGGTGAGCAGGAGCCGGGTGGGTGCTGACGATGGGGCTGGTGAGGTCAGTGACCACCATAGGGTGGCCCCTGATGTCCCTCTGACCCCCCAGCAGCCCCGAGCCCCACCACAACTGGACGCTGGACCCCTCCGGTGACCGGTATTACTGGTGGATCACGGTCATGGTGCTGCCCATCCTCTACAACTTCATTGTCCCCATTTGCAGGTGACAGAGGGGACACGGGGGGTGATGGGGGTCCTGGTGCTGGTGGCAGCGCTGACGGTGCGGGTTCCAGGTTGTGCTTCCCGGAGGTGCAGGACCAGCTCCCACGGCTGTGGCTGGGCCTGGACACCCTCAGTGACGTGTTGTACCTGGGGGACATCGGCGTGAGGCTCCACACGGGTGTGTGACCCACAGGGACCCCCACTCTGTCCCACTGCGACCCACAGAGTGACCCATAGTGCCCCACACCTGCCCCACATACCCCCAGCCCCACCCCACGCCTGCCCTTCACACCACCCCCATGCCAGCCCACACACCGCCATCATCCCATACCCCCAAAGCCCCACACCTCCTGCACTGCCTCCTCCCCCATACCACTGCTCTCCCCCCACAGCCTTCCCTGAGGACGGGCTCCTGGTGCGGGACCGGGTCCGCATCCGCCGCCGGTACCTTTGGTCCCGCTCGTTCTGGTGGGACGTGGCATCATCGGCACCACTGGAGCTGCTGTGGCGGCGCCCGGAGGCTCGTGCCACGCGGTGGCTGCGGGCACGGCGCCTGTGCGAGGCCTGGCAGCGCCGCGAGACGCGGGCGGCACGTCCCGGTGGCCTGCGCGTGGCCGCGCTGCTGCTGGGCGCCGTGGCCGCGCTCCACAGCCTCGCCTGCGCCTATTTCGCACTCTCGGTGCGCCTCGGGCTCGGCTCCGACGCCTGGGTCTGCCCCAGCAGCACCGGCGTCTGGCGCCGGTACCTGCACAGCTTCTACACGGCCACGCTGCTGCTCGCCACCGTGGGGGACACGCCGACACCACGCCGCGTGCCCGAGCTACTCTTCGCCACCTTCAGCTTCCTCCTGGGGGTCCTGGCCTTCGCCACCATCACCGGCAGCATCGGCGCCGTGGTGGGAGCCACGCGCGGAGCCTGGCACTGCGACGCCGCGGCCGTGAGGCAGCTGCTGGGGCCTGGGGAACTGCGGCGGCGCCTGCAGCGGTGGCGGCCAGAGCCAGCACTGGCAGTGGAGCAGAGCACGCTGCGGGCACTGCCACGGGCGCTGCACGAGGAGCTGGCGGCCGCGGCGCACCTGCGGGCTCTGAGCCGCGTCGGCGTGTTCCGTGGCTGCGAGCGCGGCGTCCTGCGGCGCCTCGTGCTGCGCCTGCGGGCTCAGGGCTACGGCCCCGGGGAGCCCGTGTGCCGCCGCGGCCACGTGGGCCGGCACATGTTCTTCATCCGCAGCGGGCTCGTGGCAGTGCTGGGCGACGACGGCGCCACCCCCGTGGCTGTGCTGGGCCGGGGCAGGTACTTCGGGGAGCTCAGCCTCATCCACATCCCCGGTGAGCATCGCAGGGGGGCGGGGGCGGCCCTGTGGGGCAGCGTGGGTCAGCAGTGGGTCACTGTGGGGCAGTGTGGGTCAGCAGTGGGTCACTGTGGGGCAATGTGGGTCACTGTGCACCAGGTGTGTGTCACTGTGGGTCAATGTGTGGGTCAGCAGTGGGTCACTGTGTGTCATGTAGGTCACTGTTGGTCACTGTGGGGCAGTGTGGGTCAGTGTGTGTCAATGTGGGTCAGCAGTGGGGCAGTGTGGGAGAGTGTGGATCACTGTGTGGGTCACCGTGTGGGGCACTGTGGGTCACTGTGTGGTGCAGCAGTGGGGCAGTGTGGGTCACTGTGTGGGTCACTGTATGGGTCAGCAGTGGGGCAGTGTGGGACAGTAGGGATCACTGTGTGGGTCACTGTGTGGGGCAGTGTGGGACACTGTGTGGGTCAGCACTGGGGCAGTGTGGGGCACTGTGTGGGTCACTGTGTGGGTCAGCAGTGAGGCAGCGTGGGGCAGTGTGGGTCACTGTGTGGGTCAGCACTGGGGCACCGTGGGGCACTGTGTGGGTCACTGTGTGGGTCAGCACTGGGGCACCATGGGGCACTGTGTGGGTCACTGTGTGGGTCAGCACTGGGGCACCGTGGGGCACTGTGTGGGTCACTGTGTGGGTCAGCGCTGGGGCACCGTGGGGCACTGTGTGGGTCACTGTGTGGGTCAGCGCTGGGGCACCGTGGGGCACTGTGGGTCACTGTGTGGGTCAGCGCTGGGGCACCGTGGGGCACTGTGTGGGTCACTGTGTGGGTCAGCGCTGGGGCACCGTGGGGCACTGTGTGGGTCACTGTGTGGGTCAGCAGTGAGGCAGCGTGGGGCACTGTGGGTCACTGTGTGTCAGTATGGAGACCAGCAGTAGGTCAGCGCCGCTCCCGCCCCGCAGGGAACCGCTGCGGGAACCGGCGCACGGCTGACATCGTGAGCGTGGGGCACTCGGAGCTGTTCCTGCTCTCCAAGCAGGACCTGCTCCAGGTCCTGGCAGAGTTCCCTGGCGCGCGTGCGGCGCTGGAGGCTGAGGGCCGGCGGCTGCTGCAGCTCACGGGCCGCCTGGACGCCGGGGCTGAGGCGGCGGCAGCAGCGGCCGCGCTCCGAGCGCAGGGGCTGGAGGAGGCCCTGGCGCAGCTGCGGGTGCGAGTGGCAGCGCTGGTGGCGCAGCTGGAGGCCACCGAGGGCCACCTGAGGCTGCGGGTGCAGCGCCTCGAGCGGCGGCTGCGGCAGCGCCGGGACGCAGAGGCCAGGGGGGGACAGGCCAAGGGGCAGGGTCCTGGTGCAGCGCCCAGGGCGCAGCATCCTGCTGGGGCTCAGGGTCACCCCAGGTCATAGCATGCCTCCAAAGCACAGCCCCTCCCCCCCCCAGGCCATATCATCCCCCATGTCACAGCATCCCCCCAAGGTGCAGGGTCCCCCCCCAGGTCCCACCTTTGCCCCTCCAGCTCTGGGGTCCTGCGGGTGTGACGGCAGCATGGGGGGACCCAAAAGCTGGAGCCTGGTAATGGCAAGAAAGCAGCAGGATGGGATGGGATCAATATCTGGATTGGGATGGGGACGGGAGGGGGATCAGGAAGGAGACAGGGGTAAGGACAGGGATGGGGACAGGGATGTAGGATGATGACATGGGGTTGGGACAGGGACGGTGCTATGGGGATAGGAATGCTGGATGGGGACTGGGATGGGGATGGCAGTAGGGATAAGGACAGAGATAAGGACAGGGAAAGACAGGGATGGGAATAGTGATGAAGGTAGGGATAAGGCTACGGATAGCAATAGAGAGGGATGGGAACAGGGACAGGGGCAAGGACAGGGATAAAGATAGTGATGGGGATAAAAACATGATAGTTACAGGGATGGGACCCACAGGCAAACCCACAGGAGACACCATGGGAGCCACCAGTGATGGACTCCACAGTGATGGACACACGGGGATGGACACATGGAACGGACACCTGGGATGGACACACGGTGTCAGACACCACAGGGATGGACACAAGGGATGGACACACCGTGTCAGACACCACAGGGATGGACACAAGGGATGGACACACCGTGTCAGACACCACAGGGATGGACACAAGGGATGATCACACGGGATGGGCACACGGTGTCAGACACCACGGTGACGGTTGCCACCGCCCTGGCCCCGCCCACGCCTGCCCCGCCCCCGCCGCCGTTCCCGGTCACTCTCCCGGTCTCCCGGAGCCGAGCGGAGCTGCCGCCCGGGGCCGCGGTGATGGGCGCGGGGCGGCTCTGACGGGGCCCCGCCGCTGCCATGGACCCTCCGCGTCTCAACGAGTCTCTGCAGGAACTGCTCTGCCGCCCCGGCCCCGGCCCCGGCCACGGCCCCGCCAACGGCTCCGGCAGCGGCAACGGCTCCGCCTGCGACCTGCTCCGCAGGGGCCTCCGCGGGCCGCCGGCGCCCCGAGGTGAGACCGGGCGGGACGAGAACGGGCGGGAGGGGACAGGGGGGACCCTGCGATGCCGCCGTGAGCCCCGGGAAGCTCCCCCCCGCCTGCACCGGGGGGGGGGGGGGGTGTTTCCCGGTGCATCCCAATGCATTCCGCTGTGCCTCCGGTACTTCCCGGTGCATCCCGCCGTTCCTCCCGGGGCTTCCCGGTGCATCCCAGTGCATCCCGTTATGCCGCCGGTACTTCCCGGTGCATCCCGCCGTGCCTCCTGATGCACCTCAATGCATCCTGCCGTGCCTCCTAGTGCATCCGAATGCATCCTGCCTTGCCTCTCGGTGTTTCCCGATTCACCCTGCTGTCCCTGCTGGGGCTTCCCGGTGCATCCCACCGTGTCTCCCAGCGCACTCCAATGCTTCCCGCCGTGCGTCCCAGTGCCCCGCGGTGCCCCCCGGTGTATCCCAATGCATCCTGCTGTGCCTCCCGGTGCATTCCCTGTTCCCCTCGCTGTACTCCCTTGCACCCGCGGTGCCTCCCGGTACACGCTGGTGCCTCCTGGTGCATGCAGCTGTGCCTGCCGGTGCCCCTCAGTGCACTCCCTGCTCCCCCCGGTGCCTCCCATCCGCATACTCTATGTCCGCGGTTCCCCCCGCTGCTCATCCCGGTGCAGCCCCAGCACCGCTGCATCACCCCGGCCCCGGTCCCCGGTCCCATGCATCCTGGTGCACTCCCTGTGTTTCCCGGCGCTTCCCAGCGCATGTTTCCGTGCCTCCTGCTGCACTCCAGTCTGCTCCCTGTGTCTCCCGGTGCATCCTAATGCATGCTGCCGTGCCTATTGGTGCACCCCAATGCACCCCCCATTGCTTCCCGGTGCCTCCCCGTGCTTTCCAGTGCTTGCTGATGCCTCCCGGTCTTTCCCAGTGCCTCCTGGCGCATGCTGCTGCGCCTATCGGTGCATCCCGGTACATTCCCCGTGCCTTCTGGTGCCCCCTGGTGCACCCCAGTGTTCTCTCAGTGCCCCCTTGTGCATTTCCCGTGCACCCCAGTACGCCCCAATTCACTCCCGGTGCCTCCTGTCAGCCCCATGGGCGGCGCTGGGTGCCTACACCGTGCCCTGGCTGACGGTGTGTCCCGGTTGTCCCGGTGCCCTGGCCGGTTGATGCGGTGCCCTGGCTGACACCGTGTCCTGGTTACTGTGGCTGATGCTGTGTCCTGGTTGTTCCGGTGCCCTGGCCGGTTGATGCCGTGCCCTGGCTGACACCGTGTCCTGGTTACTGTGGCTGATGCTGTGTCCTGGTTGTTCCGGTTGTGCCGGTGCCCTGGCTGCGGTGGCACCACCAGAGCTGGACGTGGCACTGCGGGTGCTGCTCTATGGGCTGATCTTCGCGCTGAGCGTCGGGGGGAACGCACTGGTGGTGGCCGTGCTGGTGGCCAACCGGCGCCTGCGCACCGTCACCAACTGCTTCCTGCTGTCACTGGCGCTGAGCGACCTGCTCCTGGCGCTGTGCTGCATGCCCTTCAGCCTCCTGCCCGCCATCATGGGCTCCTTCGTCTTCGGGGAGGCCGTCTGCAAGCTCATGGCTTACCTCATGGGTACAGCAGTGCCGGGAGCGTGGGCTGGGCTGGGGTCGGGTGGGATGACATGAGGATGAGATGAGATGGGGTGGGGTGGGGATCCAGTGGGATGAGGTGGGATGGGAAGGGAAGGGGTGGGGTGAGATGGGATGGGAAGGGATGGGATGGGATGAGAGGGATGGGATGAGAGGGATGGGATGGGATGGGAGGGGATGGGATGGGATGAGAGGGATGGGATGGGATGGGATGAGAGCGATGGGATGGGATGGGAGGGGATGGGATGGGATGAGAGGGATGGGATGGGAGGGGAGGGGAGGGGATGGGATGGGATGCGAAGGGATGGGGTGGGATGAGATGGGATGAGAGGGATGGGATGGGATGAGAGGGATGGGATGGGAAGGGATAGGATAGGATGGGAAGGGATGGGGTGGGATGAGATGGGATGGGAAGGGATGCAGTGGGAAGTGATGGGATGATAGGGATGGGATGGGAAGTGATGGGATGGGATAGCATGGGAGTGGATGGGAGGGATGGGATGGGAAGTGATGGGATGGAATAGCGTGGCAGGGGATGGGACAGAATGGGATGGGAAGTGATGGATGAGAGGGATGGGATCGGATGGGAAGGGATGGGATGAGAGGGGTGGGATGCGATGGGATGGAAAGGGATGGGATGGGAAGGGATGGGATTGGTTGCTGCATCCTGCTTGTTTGATATCTTTACCAATGGCTGGGATGAGGGGATTGAGGACATTCGTGGTCAGTGTGAAGACGACACCAAGTTGGGTGGGAGCTTTGAGCTGCTGGAGGGGAGGAGGTTCCACAGAGGGATCTGGATGCATGGGGTGAAGCCAATGGGATGAGGTTCAGCAAGCAAAGTGCCCGGTCCTGCACTTGGGCTGCAACAACCCCATGGAATGCTCCAGGCGGGAAGCACGAAAAGGACCTGGGAGTGTTGGTCAACAGCCAGCAAGTGACCCCCCTCGTGCCCAGGGCCAGAGGAGGCCACGGGGACACGGTTGGGTGGTGCTGGTTGGAGCGGGTGACACCGCAGCCGCACCGAGGGCGCTGACGCGCTGCCCGTGCGGTGCTGCAGGGGTGTCGGTGTCGGTGTCCACGTTCAGCCTGGTGGCCATCGCGCTGGAGCGCTACAGTGCCATCTGCAAGCCGCTGCAGTCGCGGGCCTGGCAGACGCGGTCGCACGCGTGTCGCGTCATCGCGGGCACGTGGCTGGCAGCGGCGCTGCTCATGGTGCCCTACGCCGTGTACAGCACAACGCGCTCCGCAGCACACGGCGTGAGGCCCCTCACCACCCAGTGCACCCATCGCTGGCCCAGCGAGCACGTGCGCCAGGGCTGGTGAGAGCCGGGTGCAGGGATGGGAGCATGGAGCAGGGGTGGCAATGGGAGTGGGATGAGATGGGAATGGGATGCGGATGAGGTGGGGTAAATTGGAAATGGGGTGGGATGAGATGTGATGGGGATGGGATTGGGGTGAGTTAGGATGGGGATGGGATGAGTTGCGGAAGAGATGGGATCAGATAGGGACAGAATGATATGGGATGGAATGAGAAGAGGTGGGGGATGAGCATGGGGATGGGATGAGACACAAGCGGTGCTGCTCCCCCAGGTACATCCTGCTGCTGCTCATCCTGTTCTTCATCCCGGGTGTGGTGATGATGGTGGCCTATGGGCTCATTTCCCGTGAGCTCTACCGGGGCATCCGCTTTGAGCTGGACATCAAAGGGGATGCTGCAGGTGAGGGGCTGCTCACACAGACTGCAGTGGGTCCCCACAGTGCCATGGCCACGACCGTGTCCCTCCTGCCCCACAGCTCACCATGGTGGCGGTGGGGATGAGGCATCCCCTGCCTGTGACGAGGGTGACGGGTGCTACCTGCAGCTGTCCCGCCCGGGCGCCGCACTGGAGCTGAGGGCGTTGGGCACGCAGCAGGACCGTGCACGCGTCAACAGCTCAGAGGCCAAGCTGGTGGCCAAGCGGCGCGTGATCCGCATGCTGGTGGTGATTGTGGCCATGTTCTTCCTGTGCTGGCTGCCCATCTTCTCTGCCAACACGTGGCGCGCATTCAGCCCGCGCGCAGCTCAGCGGGCGCTCTCGGGGACGCCCATCGCCTTCATCCACCTCCTGTCCTACACCTCGGCCTGCGCCAACCCCCTCATCTACTGCTTTATGAACCGGCGGTTCCGCGCCGCGTTCCTGGCCACGTGCTGCTGCCGGCACCGTCCCTGCCCGCGCCATGCGCGCCACGACGAGATGGCCGCTGCCGCCACCAGCGCCTCACTCTCCAAGTTCAGCTACACCACGGTCAGCAGCATCGGCCCCCCGTGAGC